AAAAGGGACGAGGTGCCGAGGGCCCTACTAACGGTAGTCATCGCCGCTGAAGTGGGCGGTGTTCTACGAGAGCAAGACGAGAGCAGCAGTGGCAGCACACATTCATGACATCTTTTCCCGTCGTCCTTCCTCGATCAGGATATAAAAGGACCTACAAGTCTGATCTAGTGCCAGCATTTTTGGATGTCGAGCTGATTCTCTGATTCCTAGGGCCTCCATGCAAATTCTTTTCGCTTCAAATACTATCGAGTCCTGTTTCGGACTCATTGAGTTGGGACACTCTGGAAAGTCGGGAAAACATAACCTTGGGAACCAGTAGTAAGAAGTACGCGATGCTAGCAGCTACAGATTCCAATGTGGTAGGAGGAGACAACTTGCGTTCAAGGACCAGAATTGCACACCGGCTCACGGCAGCAGCAACTTTGCTTGAGACTCCGCCTATTTGTTTAGCCTCGCGTGTCTGCACGAGCTTGGGAGAGTGCTTGCGACGGAATGAACGTGACTTCTAGCATTTGGTGGGCAGGGGTGATGGACCGTTTGGCCCCAGCTTCCCTGGACGGAAAGACTTTCTCTGAACCCGCAAGCGGGAAAGAGCCCGGAAAGTCATGTGCAGGCTGTGGGCAACTTGAAGTGACTATGGGCTTCATCCTTACAATCATCAAAGGCATCAAGTTGCTAGTATAGATCTGCTGCAGTCTTCGACTCAGGCTGCCAGGCAGGGCAGCAAGTTCAACCCAAGGACTGCTCAATACGGGTACTCTCTCAGCTTCCACTGAACTCTTTTGCTACGTCATGTACGACGTATCCACTCACTCGTTTATGCTTTTGAACGATTGTTCGTCCTTCGTTCACGGATTGATAACTCTCGATCGGTGCACGTTCTCGACTTTCATGATAATTACCTGTCATTCTGGACCGCCCTTTCGAAATCTGATATTAAGGAGCCAAAGGCTCCTGACAAATCACCAACATTTAATTGTGAAGAATGGTCAGAGCTTTTTGCAGCTTATGTTCATGTTACAGCAACGGCGCAAAAAAACAGCCGTTGGTTTGAGAGATCAAACTCTTGTCAAAGTTTAGCAAGGAAGCTTCGACTCTATCCATTCGCGATCTGGATACAGAAATCGGCTTGTTGACGCGAACTTTTTGCTTCATCAAACTGTTTCATCATGACAACGTCAGAGCAGCACCAACTTACATTGTACCAAATCATTGAGCACGGAATTTGGCTTCCTGACACTGATCTCTTGGCACGTGCCCGAATCTGACCCATCGGAGGCACTTTTGAAAACCTGCCAGTCATTGCAGAGCTCTTCGTATCACCTGATCGTTCCAATCATAGGACTACGATGGGGGCTGCAATGGTAGACCGCTGGTCGATTGGATCATGCAGCATTTTAGGCCGTTGTCATGATCGCGTATTATTGCTGTTCTAGCTGGTCGCTTTAACTTTGCAAGACTTCGAAAGCTTTACTTAAGCGAGCAATCACGTGCATGGTTGGCGGCCTTGAGGACTTGCTGGTTGCATCGTCCTCGTCGAAAACGTCTGTAATTAACTTCGACTGAGTCCAGCTCGTTGTGTTGCCTGAAGATAATAGGTACGATCTTGCATCAGTCAAAGATCACCCATCTTCAGTCCGTCTATCAGGTCCGCACTTAGCAGTGCTGTCAGCACGACGTCAGCATCCGCTGTTGCGTCTTCCTTTCTTATCAAATATGGACGCTCCGTACTGCCGAAGCTTGGATGGACAACCCATACTCATAGCTCCGAGGGAATCCTGTCCGGACTATCACCTGCATGCTCACGGTAGTATCGGATGGATCTTGTTTTCTAAACACGATAGTGTCGCGTGCATCGACCGTTCGCGTTCACGTGATATTTTCTGATTGCCGAGATGGCGGTTGGCTACCTCACCGTTCAACGGTTCTTACCCCGCTCCTCCGGCTCAGTATTTCTCTTTAATAGCATATCCATTTCAGAGCATATCCATTTCAGAAACTTTCATTGGACTTCAGTCAATTTGAAATCTTCTGATCATTGTCGTCAACAGCAGGTATGTTGCAACCTCATTTGGAGCCGTGCATTGTCGGGGCTACGATCAACTTTGCTGAAGGCCCTCTGAGTGATCCGCTTTCGTTAGTCGGAAGTAGCCATGTGCAGATCAGTGAGTGATCGAACTATAGCGCAGGATCCGTTACGCATATTTGAAGGCCTAAAAGATTGATCTCAAGTTCTTCAAAACCGCATGCATGTTTGTCGTGACAAACGATGTCGATTCGATGAGCTCCGCCGTAACGTCGATCTACATGCATGGGTCACATGTTCGATCATTACCAATGTGTATGTATGAGTACGTTGGAGCTCATTCCAAATCTGGGACCTGTTCATGTTTCTGTGGACAATTAAATTACTCGTGAAGCAATTGTTTGTCACCAGCTAGACGTCGCGTCCTGACAATGGAGCTCCTCAGTGGCTGGGCCCTCACGAGCGCATAAAAGCCCACCCGGTCGCGCGATAATCACTGGGCAATGGAATACTAGAGTGTAGGCACACCTACAGCAGAGTGCATATATGGACTGGAGCACTGAACTAATGCTACCGTGACGTGCACTCGACGCATGTTTTGATCCAAGAATGAATCAATCAAATTGACTGCAGTTGGATCCTGCACAACTGGACATGAGTGCATGCAATTGGATAAACGGTACCCAAAACTCATGGAGCTAAGCAGACACAGAACGATGCGGTTTCTATTGATGGTCGTCAGGCGATCAGACTACCTTGCGGACCAACTTATTATGCAGAACCTTCTTATTCTGTACACTCAATGGCGCTTCATCTGTCCTATGCCATCAGATCTTCAAGAGTCCTATTGCAGTCTCAAGCATACCTGACAACACGAGAGCACATGTAAAACTCACGCATCATCAACTCAGCATCGTGCCTTCCTTGAGCAACACAAACAGACCGCCCCCATCGCCCCGCGAGATCCTCAGATCCTCATCTAGGTACGTGGTCAGCAACCACGAATCCGAGTTCGCCCCGTTCCTGATCGGAAACTTGAGCGGCGGCTGTCCGGAGATCATACGTGCAACGCTGGCGGCCGCGTCTTGGAGGGGCTTGGTCAGCGTGTCCAGTGGGCTGATGTCCAACTGTTGGCCGAAGACGCCGAGCGCCTTGGGGAACTGGAAGCCGTCGTTGAAGTTGGGGGTGTTGATGGTGCCCTCCTCGAAGCGGATCTGCGTATGATAAAACAGTCTGCTGTTGTTACCCCTGTTTGGTACATGGGCGTAAAGTCCAGACTCCGATAATGCCAATCATTTTGAGTTTCTGTAGGACACACTTCGCAGCCTGGATTTTGGAGGGCCTTCCGCCAGTGGTGTTGTCTTCGACAAAGCGAACTTGCAGGTAAAGGAGCTTCTCGAAAACAACCGTTGTCCGGGAGGCGTAAGACCCCTGTTTTAAGACCTCTGAGTACCAGAAGCTCGAATTCAGCTTGGCCCTGCAAATGGTGCTCCCACGAAGCGAGTCTGCACGGCAAGAAAGCTTTGATCTTTGAGAAAGCGAGATTTGTCGATTTCCGAGCTCTGCCCAGAAGAATGGTGGCGTCAGAAGGCGTCGTCAATTGAGTTGTGAAAATAGCTCTAGAAGGATTCGGGAGGCTTTCGACTCTCTGTTCAGCAGAAGTGCCAGGATTGTCCCCCTGAAGCCTGCTGCGAGGGTAGGAAGATCAACGATCCATTGAAGCGATGAGGACGAACGATCTTGGCATGGCGGCAGTTTGTCACTTGCCCTATACACAGTCCGAAGTAATTGCAAAAGAGTCAATCCAAGTAGGAACTAAATGATTTGTGTGCGACTCGCGAAGTTAAAAGCAGCCTAGTCAACCCACCTCTAGCACTTTCTATTCTACGTCTAAAGCTTGCGTACTTCTTCAGCTCTTCTTCGTCACTGCAGGCATTGCAAAACGACCTTCTATGTTGCCAGGTTAACCCAACATTCTGTCATAAGTCCCTCAAAGGCAAAGTACCCAAATTCAACCGCCAGTAGCAGTCACCTTGAATGTTGAAGTAAAAGAAGCTAACTCCAAGCAAGGGGAACTCTCTCTGTCCCAGCTTTTTGGTTTGGAATCGTAACAAAACGATCAGACAGCTTACCTGAATCCTCTTCGGCGAGCGGACCTCGATCGCTGCGGTGACGCTAAACGAGTTGGAGCCCAGGGGTCCCTTGTACTGCACTGCGTTGGTGGCCGTGAATCCATACGTGTCAATGGACTGGGAGATCTCACCGACCTCGATTCCGGGCAGGTTGCTGGCGGCCAGGAGGGGGTACAGCTCCGAGAAGCTTGTGTAACTGCAAAAGGGAGGCCAGGAAGACTGCCTGTCAGTACAGGGTGATTTGGACTCAGCGGACTTTCTGCCCAAGGTCAACGCTTGCAGAGTGGCTTCGCAATGACTTCTCACATACAGCGAATTGCGTGGTCAGATGGGGTGTCAAGCTAGTTGCTAGAGTATGTAAAGTGCGATGATGCAGGCAGACAATGAAAATAATCTAAAAGAGAAGGACCTTTTGTTTGCAAGAGTGAATGAAGACCACCCTTAGGATGTCGAGCGCAATTCATTAGAAATTGGTTCAGTGCACTGATAAGGCTTGTAATGCGAATTGACTCCCAGAGACCAGGAAAAACCTTGCTGCGAGGGGCAGAGTTGGAGGCGCAGCAGGAAACTCTATTGTGACAGCCAGCAAAATCATAGCGCGTGAAGCTTCCGGTGGCTGCCCCAGGCTAGCCTGGTAGTGCTTTTCAAAATTGCAGGGAACTATGCCGAGTTGCTACAACTTCAGTCTTGTTTGACCTTTGTGCTTTTGGCATGGCCCTGTCAGGAGGCGTGATGAGGCAAAAGATGGAGAGCGGGGGAGCCATTCGAGAAACAGCAGAAAGTCCCGCCAGGCAAAGCAAAAAAGCAACCAAAAAGAAAGGTGCACCACAAAGAGCAGAAAAAGATAGACTTGTCGATCGATAAATTTAGCAGCCGCTTAGCACAGTACAAAACTGCAAATGCAATCCTTTTGCATACCTGCATCATTCATCCAAGTAGCGAGTGGGTAGGCAAAGACGCTGCATAGATCACTATCAACCGTCTGACAGTATCCTGCTTGAGAAAGACTCGACCTTGGGGTAACCGCACTTGATCCCAGTCGCAGCTAGTCCCAGTTCTTTCAGAACACTTCTCATCTGAAGAACGCTCTAAACTAAGAGACCCAAGAACTGCCAGATCTTGAAAGTTGCTCAAATCCTTGGCACAAATGTAACCAAACCAGCGCTGTCCAAGGATCATGCCACTGTCGCCACAGGGGTGGATCCACTGACTCGTAAGCTTGATAGATCCAACTGCTGCTGATATTTACTTGCAGTGGGATCTTGCTAATCAATAACAAGTCAGCAGAAAACGAGCACACCGCAGTATACCAACAAACAAGGAATGAATGGCAGGTGGTAAAGTGAAAACTTCTCTCACTCTCCCCTACCTCATGAATGGTTTTGCCCTCCACAGATGCCTCGATCTCTGGCGTTCATACCACCCCCAACGTCGCCACACAGAGATATCGGTCAACTCAACGGCGTCCACCGCCCAGAATCTGCGAAGGTATTGCTCTGAAAGAAAAGAGATTGTTACTCACGCCAGATTCCACTTTCCATTGAGGAGCTCCAGTTTCTCTGTCGGCGCAGGGTTCGGGTTGGCCGCCTCTAGTTGGCTAATGATCTCTGTGATCTCAGCCCTGGTCTCGCTGCTCGCTCTCAGACCCCTGTCTGTCCCGTACAACGTATCGACCAGCTGCTGTTTGAGATCCTTGGTGCTGAGCTCAGTGGGACCCTTGGTGACCTCACTCCCCTCGATCGGTTCCACGTCAGACGGCACTGTGTCTGCAGGAGGGAACTCATCTGCAACTACGATAGCGGTCTGACCAGGCTCAGCATTGGGGTCTGCAGGATCGTACGTGCCTGCATTTGGACCAACAGCTGCAAGGATGTTCAACGGTTGCCTTCCAAAATGTTTTTGCTGCACTTTTGTAATGTTCAGCTGCTTTCCGCTAAAAGCTTTGAAAGACGGAAGAGCACACTTGGACGAGGAGTGCAGAGGAATGGCCGCGCGGATAGGAGCCTTGCTGATGTCAGTGCACGGGCATCCTGTGCTCCAGAGGCTGGCGTTCTTCAGGAGGTGCCCCTGCAAGCTTGCTGTGGCCGCCATAATAAGCGCAGTGGTGAGACTGCTGGCCTCGTTCCCCTCTGCTTTTCTGCTTTCTTCTGCACTCGAATGCACCTTTCCAAGAGCAGATTGAAACGTTTGCTGCAAGAGAGATCTGGGTCGCTTCTTCCAGAAACCTTCTGCACAAGGGCTTCGTGAGACGGGGTTGACGTGGACTACTCTCAAAGCGTCCGATGAAGGACGGCGAGTGTTCCAACCGTCGATTGAGGATGCGAATTGCCGCCTTATGATACGAACTTGGTATTAGTAGGTAGTACCTAGCCTTTCGGTGCACCCGCTCTGCGCTAACATCGCAGGTCGATCTGAATTGTTCCAAGTTCAACGTCGGCAGGTTTAATAAAGCCATGCAATTGAGGCTGCCCGTGCAGGCTGTCATACTACCTAATAGCCGCCAGTGATCCCCACCCTTCATACTGCGCTCAGCGCGTTTGCATGCTCCATGCGCGGCGAAGGTGCAGGCTAGCCTTCTTGTTGGCCTATCTTGTATCGACCCACAAACTAACATATACCGCAGATGGCTTAACAACTGACAGCCAGAGATTGTGTGAAACTTCGCATGGTAGGTATTGTGCATTTACATGACACCTGCGAACGCCCGTGTGAGTGGGAAAGTCCATCATGATTGCTGGCACCATTGAGCGAAAAAAAGGTGCTTCCATTGTGCGTGCTTGAGGCAGGCTCTTGGCTTGAACAAGTCAGCAAAGAATCTATGTACAAAGGACATCTTCAATGTGGATCATCAGCCTTTTAAAGAGTAACCCTTGCCGGAGAAAGCCGCAAAGCTGGACTTTTTCTCCTCGGGCTCCTTTGGTTTCTCGGGACCTTTTCCTTTGTCCGGTGCTTTCCCCTTGTCCGAAGCTGGGACCTGGATGTAGGACAGGATAGAAAGGCTGAGTGATTCCCGCAAATCCCTTTCTGTGAAAACGGTGCCTGGATAACGAGGGCCCGACTAACGAATGACTCGGCAAGGTTGCACAGCACCTATCTCTGTAACGGCAATGCATAAACGCAAGAGCTTGCATGCATTTGTATCTCGAAATTCAAGCCTCTTGCCAACGCTATGTGTCCCGCATCAGGAGGAAAGCGAAGACCTTCGCCTATGCCACCTGTTGCCCAATGATAGGCGTCGTTGAAACACGTACTATAAACTCAGAACCGGAAAACAAAATCCAGCGAAAGCCGGGAGTAGGACTCCCTGCAATGCACCAAAACAACAAGATGGAAGGGCCTGCAGACCGCATTCGACCATCCATGTTTTCTTCCAACCTCCTACTATTTTGAGGAGGTTAATAATAATCCGCCCAATTATTCGAACCGTCCATAGTGTTATGTACTGACACGACACGTTCCTGCGGCTGTGCAATGAGGAGCTAAGACCACCCGTATCGATCCTTAACCAGACACAGTACAAAGCTCACCTTTGGTGCAGCGGCGGCCCCTCCCGCCCCAAACACCAGCTTCCCCGACGCTCTTCTTGGCGCCTCCGCGGGAGCGGCCGCGGGCGCCGGGTTGGTCCCCGTTCGCGGAGGGGCTGATGAGGTTCCTGCTCGCGCCGCCGCCGCTGCCGCGGCTCCCGTCGAAGGAGACGGTGACGTTTTCGGGGCCTTCCCGTCGAGCCTCTTTCCGGAGCCGGTGAAGGGAGTGAACTTGGGCTCCTCTGGGGCGGGCTCCGGTTCGGCTCCTGAAGAGGAAACAAACAGATAAATCAGCGGATACGTTACACGGAAAGGAAAAGCAAGGAAAGGCCTTACCTTGGGATCCTTGAAGGCAGGCTCCAGATCGGCACCTGGGGCGCAAGAGGACTCGACGACAGCTCTTTCTGAGTGAAAGAGGTCTTGAACCCGACCCAAGAGCTGTTTTTCGGCTGTTGTCATCTGGAATGATTGCCCTCAACGTTTCCCTAATGAGCCCCGCATAATCAAGCTGGCAAGACCAAAAACAGCTCAAACGCTTTTGGCCAAAAGCTATTACCCGTCCTTTCGACGTTCCGTCCGGAAAGAAACATAGTGGCTTTCGTCACTACGGCTCACATGGGAGGTACGAAGCATACACCCACCTGCTTTCGGCGCGCCTGCCTTTGGCTCTGCCACCGGCGGGGCCGGGCGTGGAACTCGCTCTGGCTCCTTGTAATCCAGGGGCGCCGCAAAATCAACCTCGCAGTCGGTCTCGATGATGGAGATGGCGGGGCCGGGCTTGGCTTCGACGATGTTGATGTAATACTTCTTGTTGTTGTACGCCATCATGATGTTGTCGCCCGTCGTGAGGCACGAGAAGGAGCGCAGCGTCGTCTCCAGGCTGCATGCACGAGGTGGGGAATTGTTAGCTATTGAGGACTGACAGGAACCTTTCCTAAACCTTGATAGTCAGGTGGATAAACACTTGAAGAAGCGCCAGACAAACCTCCTCCAACGGGTGCTCACCATGCGCCGCACCATTAGCGATTCGGGCTGTCCACGACCAAGGCTGAACGTTTAGTACATCAATGAAGACATCGCTACCAATGCCTCGAAAGAGGCCGGACTCTTCTCGGTCAAACGTAATGGATGTTCGAACTCACGGAAATCAACCACATCTACCGTCTGCAATATTGGACTGAGAAGGGTTTGCAGATCGAGTTCAGCACAAGCGTAGTAAAATCTTTGCAGAGACTTTTAAATAATTTTCGAGGATACAGCTCCCTTTCCACGTTATTGAGAATCTTCGAGCATCTCAAATAAGAGGAATTTCACCAGTCTGCTGCAACGAGACACACATTTCCACTAAGCGACAACTTCGTGCGAGCGGAATGGAAACATCTCCTGGTCTACTGGAAATCTGGATATAGGCCAACAGCTTTCAGAGCAGACGACGCTACTCACACAGCCTTCGGGTTGGAGATATCGAGGAAGTCCGACGTGTGCGGCTGCAGCTTAACGTACGTCCCCTTGGGCAGCGTGGCGCTCTTAAGCCGCACCAGGTCTCCCTCCGACAGCAGCAGATTTTGCATCATCTGTGGAGCAAGCAAGAGGAAAGGTTTAGGAACCATGTCCATTCAATAGAGGGGAGCTGTTTGCTTTCTAAGATAGTTGCGTCGAGAACGGGAGAAACAAAGTCAACATTTTGTTGTTGCGGACTAACAATTTCAAAGGCGGAAAGGGATGCAAGATCAGTCCCTGGTTGATTGACGAAGACGAGCTTCATCTTTGCACATCAACCACAAGGAGTTTCACTTATCGAACAGCGAAACCTCGTGGTTGATACCCAAAATATCATCAGCACCAGCTTTCTCCTTTCAATCCTCAAAACCGACTACGAAAGAACGACCTGCGAAAATCGCTTCATATAACAAAGAACACGTGGTGTTTGTATCAAACCAGAAACCAAAGAGCTATGGCTCGACACAAATTGAGGATCTCAGCTCACCCAGTATGGCATGTAGACAGCGCCCTCGTCTGCAATGAACTCCAGCACTCCGCAGTGTGACTTGTTGCCCTCAGCCGGGTTGGTCACCTCAAAAAGCATGGGGTAGTCGATGTGAAGGGACGCTGCAGCACACCAACATGGAGGTTACGAACGCTGTTATCTGACCAGACGAGCCTGGCAGGAAGAGGTGCCAGGTATCTCGAGATATTATCAGCCTACAGTATTGCTCAACTTTGGCGTAGGAAGGGGGCTTCATCGAGATTGCTACCAGCGTTTACATGTTGTCTCTCCTTGACTTTGAGGATTCTACCACATGCTCAACCAAGTAACACTTCACTGAAGTCAGATTTGCTCCATGGGTCATGGCCATCACAAAGCACGACAACAGAAAGCATCCAATCTCGTTGACCAATTTCAGCAAACGTAACCGGACTTGGACACGAATCAGCTCAGGATAAATAGAGAATTGGACAGAGACAAGACACAATTATTCTCATTGCTGGCACCGCCAGACTAGTAGTCAAGTCTTGTTTCCTCACCAAGCCGGTCAAGTGCTGAGGGAGGCATGATAACTGCAAAGGAAAAACGGAGGTAAGTATTTTCAAGAATCCCTTGGAAGACACTTCATCCGACTTGCTATATAAGCACACCGGCAAAAGTTTCATGTCAAAACAACAATATCAAACGAGACCTTGACCTGTGCAACACTGCAACTCGGGAAATGTTTGTAGCTTTCAAAGGTCTTGCACGAGAGACTGGACAATTCGTGAAAACAGGTCGCTGCTCCTGCAACATGCAAAGCAACTCACTTTTGTCCCCACTCTCCAGGTGCGGCTGCAAGAAACAGGTGGTGGTATATCAGGTGACTAAGACCAATGAGGATTTAGAGCAACTGCAATCCTCCAGCAGCTTTAAGGCGCATCTGAACAATTCAAACCGCAGCTCATATGAGGTGCTGCATCCATGCCCCCTGATTGACGACCAGAGTGGCAAGTAAAGAACGAAACATTTCTTTTCAGAGGGTCATCATGTGACCCGTAATGCCTCAGCGACCAGATAACCCGTATGCCGTACCCTTGATTGCTAAACATGGGACCATATGAACAAACTTTTGGCAAAACGAGGACAGAGAATGTTGCGTTAGGGGCCGCCGTGGATCCACTCAGTTAGACGCTTTCTTTCAGGAGTCAATCTCGTTGAAGCGCTCACCTTGTCAATGAATGAGACAGGGTACACACGATAGCTCTGCTCGAATCTTTGCTGGCCCATGGGCCCTCCGAAAGGGAAACCCCCGCCCGGGCCGCCAAAGGGCCCACCACCATTATAACCAGGGAAAAACTGCATAAGATTCAGTGGTGTGCTGTTGTTTGCGGTATCTTGTCGTGTGATCATGTTGTGCTGCACTCATCAGGACTCATGTGAGGAATTGTTTACGTCCTTCTGCAGTGCAAGCTTGCAACAGCAGCTGCTCCTCTCAAACCTCAGAGATGGTGACCAGAGCAAACAACAGTGCCACAGGAAATAACAAAAATGAGCGAGCAAATCATGATCGATATGAAGTCAAACACCGTGCATACTTGTTCCAGCTGCAAAAGATCCTTTAGGTCTATGCCCTCACCATGATGACGTCCTACAAACACCTTCTCCTTCAATGGCAGGTCCACAATCAAGACGCAGCATGCACCAAGAATTCAAAGCCTATGCAATGATACTTCCGCTGCAACCTCCGTGAAGTCTCCTGGACTAACTCTAAGAGTGCGATCAACAACGCGCTTGCGATCCCAAGGTTTGCCTAGCTTTTGTCCTCCTTATCTCTCGTATGATCCGCTCTCGACTCAAGCGATGTGCAGCCTGTGCGTCGTTGTCTTGTCTTCACTCCGAGTCCTGGGCCCTGGCAACTTTCTGCATGAGGAAAGCTGAGCCTGTAGGAAAGCGTGTAGTGGAGCCCAATTCTGGGTTTTGGTCGAGGTGGTCAGGTTCCGAAGAGGGAGCAAAACAAACAGAAACCCTTGCCGGATTTCTCGTAAGAGGCGTGTTCGAATGGAGACAGAGATTGACCAGTGGAAGCAGTGACAAACCAAGACAAACACAACGGTAAGGGTCAAAGGCAGGTTTACTTGAAGTTTTCGAGGAGGTTTGTTTTGCAGCGAAGAAGAAAGGCGCGCAAAGATCAGCGTCGAAACACTCGCAATTGGAGAAGCGAGAGAAGTGAAGGGAGGCTGTGGCAGCACGACGTACTGGCAGTCGTGGCTTCCCACTGTTGATCTTGTGGAAGAAAAAGCGGTTCACTGTGGAAGCGAGGGAGATTAGCGCGTTATTATCTAGCCGTTGACGACCAGTTAGCTTTGGAGGCAAGGTAGTCGGGCGTCGGATGTTTGTTTGAGGACCATTGGTTTGTACAGCAGCAGGAACGCAATTCTCAGAGAGCATCGCACCCGAGGCCCGGGCGAACAGAACAAGGGGGGTCGCCATGTCGATGTCAAAGAGCAGCAAGCTGCTGCACCACATAAATTACAGGATGCGGGTCACATTGCAGGACGGGCGGCAGCTGGTGGGAAAGTTCATGGCGTTTGACAAGCACATGAACCTGGTGCTGGGGGATTGTGAAGAATTCAGAAAATTGCCTCAGAAGAAGGGCAAATCTGCAGAGGACAGGGAGGAGAGGAGGACGCTGGGGCTCTTGTTGCTTAGAGGAGAGGTAATTTTGCTGGCGCCTGATGGTTGCTGAATACGAATCAGTACCTTACTTGATCTGCTTGTTGTACAAGTGGCGGCGATGAAGAAGTTGCATGTGTGCAGTGTTTGCATCAATTCTCCTTGTTTGGTGAATCTATTTCATCTCTTTGACCTACCTCGTGAGTTTGCCGGAATGCGGTACTGATTGCGCTGCTTTTCTGCTCAACCATTACCATCGGTGGTACTACAAATTGGTGCATTGTGATCGTGCAAAGCACCTTCTTTAAACTGGTGCCTCTAGGTCCAACATCCAACACACTGTAGCTTCTTAAGCAGTCGCTAGAATGTAGCGCCAATCAGAAATGCAAGAGTAATGTGTCTGATTTTTTCAAAAGAAGTTGTTGGCAAGTCGGAAGATGGAGATTCTTGTCAAGTATGATGAATTGCTTGTTTTGACACCTTTTGGCCACCTTGCTCGTTAATCTGATTGGTTTGTGAGTCTGTTACTCTGCACTCATGTCTTACAGAGTATTTTTACATTTACGTATCTCATGGTTCTAGGGAGGAGATGGGAGAAGCATTGCCTGTTGTTGCTGAGCGTCACAGTGTGAGCATCAATTTTCTGAGTTCTGCCAAAATGAGGCTATCCTGGTCGCCCGCAGCTCGTATTTGTGTGATTTAGAAAGACCATCTTCTCATTAGTTTTCTCAGCGCTCAAGTGTTGCTGTGCTCTGATGTGATCTGCAGGAAGTCGTGTCACTGACTGTAGAAGGCCCGCCGCCGCAAGAGGAGTCGCGAGCGAAGGCAATGGCCGCTTCCGGAGGTCCAGGAGTGGGTAGGGCGGCAGGTAAGCTCACAGATTGGTGACCCATCTTTATGGTAAATAGAGTACTCTGCGACGCAGGTTCCTCCCAGTGAGCTTGAATGTCCCATTGCCTACATCATGCTGGCGTGGTCTATTTGCAGTTATCTTGGCCGCACTTGTTAACACTCCTTGGCACTCTTACTCTCGAGAGCCCTCTGGACTGAAATCGAAGTTGGCTGATCGCTTACATTTTCGACAAGCACGATGGTATGCTTCCTTTTGCATGTGCATTTTCAGAGCAGGCTTGCCGTAGCCCTGAAGCAACCCCAATTCTCAAGCAAGAGCCACTCAACGCCACTTGCAAGGCTTCTATCTTTTTCAAAGCCTACTTTGGCTTCTCAGACCTCATTAAGCGCGCCCCTCTTACCCACGCCCCATTCTCGTCGCAGGCAGGGGTATTCCGACTGCCCCCCTGGGTCAAGCCGCGCCGGGTTTAGCGGGGCCAGTTCGTGGGGTGGGGGGCCCAGCGGCAGCAATGATGCAACCCCAGGGACGGGGGATTGCAGCAGCAGCAGCCCCAGTGTCATACGGAGCCCCCGGTCAGATGCCCCCCGGACAGAGGCCCCCAGGCACGATGCCGCCGCCGCCAGGGGTCGCTCCCGCCGCTGGTGTCTACCGTCCTCCGCCAGGTAAGCGAATTTGGTCCTTCGACAGTTTTGGTCCACTCCATGTTGCATTGCATCGGCTCATGGAGAGAGAGTGGTGTTTTATAACATCGTAAAGGTGGAGGACATGGACCGTAGGTGAATGTTTAGCAACAAGGGAGAGCTGCGGTCAGCTTTGACACAGGTTTTTAGTTTTCATCCAGAGTGTACGAATAGGGTGGTCAAGGACAGCTGAAGAGTTGCCTTGGGGCTTTGGGTTGCTAAGGCTTGAAAATGCAAAGCGTTTTGAAGAGCGGCATGCTTGTGCACCAGCCCATGCTAGCCCGTTTGCCTGGCCGAATCTGGACTTGAGTCGTGTTTGCAACCATAGCACCAGGGACGTCAAGACGAAGTCCGCTGATGAAAGAAAGTAGCCGCATGTCTGGAGAGTCTGTCTTTTCGCCTCTTGAAAAGTGGACAGCATTGTGGTTCCCTCGTATGTTGAATATGTCCTGAATATTACTACGACTTTTGAAGTCGCTGCTGTTTCAATGTTCGTTTTCCTGAGGGGTTTGAGGGACAGATTTTCTGGAGCACCTTAAGAGGAGCACATCAGATTTGCTGAGCAACTTAGACGTAGCGCAGTATGTGTTTCAAGGGCAGGGCTTCATATCATGCCCTGGCTTTGTAATTCTCAAAAAGGAACCGAGTAGGATTTGCAGCAAGTATCTTTGTCACAACCACGATCTGGGTATATCATTGCCTCATCATTCAAAGCCTACTTTCATGTCTGCTCGGCTTGGATCAGGCACTTTTACACTTTCGGCGGCAGGTTCGCGAAGCCTCTTCTTTTTCAAGATTCAGTCGTCCTCTTTACTTACATAGTCTTGGTTCTAGATCTCCGGATAAAGTCCCAAGAGTTTAAAGCCAGGCTTGACTTGAACTCAACTGGAGAACCATCCCAACAAAGTCTCCTTCCGGTTATCCAGGTGCTCCTCCTCCCGGCTATCGACCTCCCACAGGTGCTCCTCCCCCTGGCGCCCCCCCCGTTGGCTTCCGCCCCCCTCCTGGAGCCATGCCGCCAGGTACGATCAGAAAGATTGCAGCTCTGCCGTGGTTTTCCTTCTTGTATACCTGTTCAGCAGCGATTACGAACACCTATGTGCATCTCTCTCGACAATCGACTTGCCGAGAACCTGCTCCTGTGATCGATGGTGGGGCAGTTGCATCATTCTTCTGGTTAGATGGCCAGCAACCAGACGGTGATTGTGCCACATACAGAAATCTCGGTGACATTCCTTCTGGTGCGTGGACTACAGCCAGTTGTGCACTGATTTGCTTGTCCTCTATTGCGCCAGCCTTGTTTGCATCTTTCTTTATCCTTACTTGCTTTTGGCATTACTCACCCAAGAAGGTGCTTTCCGTCTTGTCACAGGTGTTCGTCCCGGGGGCCCGCCCCAAGCCCCTCCCGGTGCTTTCCGACCCCCCCAGGGCCCCCCCGGGCAGAGGCCCCAGTTTGCCCCGCCCCCGGGGGCTCGTCCTGGTGGACCTCCGCCCCCCGGATACAGGCCACCGTACCCCGGCCCCCCTCCTCCGGGCTGGAGACCGCCTCCCCAGCAATAGTTTGGTCATTTGCTGGGTCAGGTAGTTGTCAGCGCGTACAGGGTGGAGCTATAGTCGAAGGGGCCTGCTTAGGAAGGTGACAAAGGCGTTTCACGAGGTTGTGTGCAGAAGAAGCGTGCACGAGATCATGAAGTGTCAACTGCAATGCGAAAATGATGATTACAGCTGCCGTTGCTCACTGTCGAACCAGTGCTGTGTCATGCATGACCGTATGCTCACTAAAGATTGCCTTTTGCATTTAGACCAAAAATAGTGCATGTAATTCTTACAGTACCCAAGCTGAAGCTACATGCCTGAGGGACCGGGGACACCTTGTGCATGAAGCAGACCGGGCCAGATGCAAGCCATCATGGCTTGCCTAAACTTATCATGCAGGCCGGCCGGTGGCACGAAGTTTGGATCTTCATCTGTATCCATTGACCATGTGTGCCGCCACGCTGTTGTAGTACGCCATGGACATAAATTCCGATTGCGACTCACATGACGGATCAATCAAGCACTTGAGCTAGTTCTCCTGTCTACTAACGTACCAATCCATTATCTGCGAACATTTCCGATGACCATGGAATATTGCTTGCAGTCAGTCCACGCGCGCTTCACTCTTAAGCTGCATGCATGATATACCTGAAACTGCAGATCATAAGGCCAGGACACTCGGAATGAGTTAAGCGCGTTGATCAGCAGCAAGAGTACACTTCGTGGTTAAGCACACGTTGCGCGAGCGCATGCACGTCCGAAGACGCTCGGTGCTCAGAGCGTACAAAAGCGACAATCTGTAGCTGCCAAGATCACTGTTTCAGGAAATAATTTGTCAGTGCTTCTTGTCTTTCTTAAGTGAGAAGCTTCGACCATCCTGACAGAGCAAGGCCAGGCCAGGTCGAGAGTAAAAATCTTGTGTCGACTTTCAATCGTCTCAGTGTCAATCTCATAACATCAGGATTCGTTGAAATGCGTCACTCTGTCTAGTGTTTTTGTTTGACGACTCTGATCTTCAAGTTATTGCGTATCTTACACCATGCACGAGACAACCGCGTTCCGGCTTTCAGAGACTTCGACAGAGGACGGAAGACGACGAAGCTCTCGACTTATAGCGCGCAGCAGCGCAAACTTAGAAAAATCTTCTTTGAAGCACGTTTTAGAGGCGCCTGTGGCTACTGCAAACGCGCGTTGGCGCTTCAGGAGAGCAGCTGTGGTATGATCAGCGAATCCTTCGGCGATTTTTTTCTGCTGAAGAGATCATAACCCAGGCTTTGCTAATCGCGTGACAGCCATCTCGCAACATGAACACTGAAGAAACCGCGACAGGAGCAGCTGCAGACGGGGTTGCTCAGTTTACGAAGCTCCCACCCGAGCTTCTTGTGAGGATTCTGTGCCAGGACGCGCTTGAGATTACTGACCTCCTGATGTTTGGAGCAACGAGCAAGGACTTGCATGGTTTCATCGATGGATCTGCGGAGCTCTGGCGCACCCTCTATGTAAGGGACTTTACGAAGCTTCATCCTGAGGAGAAGAACATGGATGCAAAGCTGATCAAGAAGCGGTACAGGCAGAAGTGAGTCCTTCCAAACGCTCCATGCACTAAGCTTCCTCAGGTTCATCTTTGAATGAAAACAGACTGATTGGTCGTGATTGAATTTTGTTCCGTGTCTCTTCGAAGTTCCGCTCGATCTTTTTGAATGCAACCATCTCTTTTCCTGCTCAGACAGACAGCCTTTCCTGTTCTGCCTTGAGATGCCGTTTAGCGGGCATGAACATTATCATCTTGAAGGATGGTGAATCACATGCCAAAGTAGATCGTTCGTGGAAAAGGTCACTGCTAGAATCTGCTTGAGATACCTTCCGTTTGTGACATTGCAGACGTAGCAGACTCTGCTCCGTGCGAGGGCACGCAGTCCGTTTTCCGGCGTCCTGGCTGTGACTTCTCGAACTAATCTGCAGAGTTACGTAGAATATCTTTAGCTCTTTTGAAACATCTGCCTACTGTACACTGTGGCAGTCAAATCTTGCAGAATCGCTTCTGAAAGATTCTTGCAGTACATACTCAAATTGAGGACTTGTCACCAGACAGATTTTCGAAGTTGAGCTTCTGAACTTTGCTCCTCCAGACGTTCTCTTTCAGGTCAAGAAGCTTTAGCTAGCGCTTTCTTTTTAACGCTTTTGGATTCCGATACTTGATGAGTATTGTCGCTTGTCTCTCACCTCTACTGGATTACTATCATCCAGGTCTTGAAAGTCTTGTATAGGCTGCGTCTTGACGTTTCGCTCAGGCCAGAGCAGCATGGTAGAAAAGTTGCAGAGGAACTTAATCCTACGGGGACTGAAGTTTTCCACGAATTGGAGCCTTGTAAAGCTGACTGAAATGCTACAGACGATATGAGATCCGTTGGCAAGTCTGCTTGCAAAGAACAACACAGCTTTGGCAGGTCATATAAAATTATTCTTTCTTCAGTCAATCCTGTTTCGAGGCAGGGCCCCTTGCTTTCGCAAAAGTGTCTGTCCGGGAAGGTGGTGAGGAAAACGGAGAATCATGAGAAGCCATCCGCCTGGATTTCAGGACTATTCAAGAAGAACACGTCTGCTTCTCTCTGAAAGATCTCACCGAATAGTCGTAACAAGGGAAGATTGCTCGAAAAAACATCCAGGCTTACTCCCCCGACTCAAAGCACGCACGAAGTTGCTCTGATCCATTCTCCGTTCAAATCAGAGTTGTATCTCCGTTTTTCAGGCACGTCCGACTGGCACGTAAGGGGAAGGCCGTCAAGTGGTCACGCGAAACCATCATCGAGACTGGAGAGCTCATGGGGGACTTCGTGTCGCACGCTCGAAAGCGTTGGTGGCTGCGCCGCACCTTGGCAACCTGTGCCTCGTCTTTGGGGTTTCGAGAATAGCCGTTGGTGATTATGGGTTCCTTCCCTCGATAAGCATACCAATGGGAATGTATCTGATGATGGACTGGCTGTACGAGTCGCTAGTCAGCTTTGGGGACGTGAGAGGCTGAGGAGCAGACGGTCGATCTGGAAGACGTTCGGTTGAGTTCTATCAGGTTTAGGAGGAATCCAAATCAGGCAGGAATTGATCGACCTTTTCGCCGTTCAAAGCAATTCACGTAAGAGTTTAGGGTCTGGACGCTGTATCGTTGAAGCAATTGCGTTTGGTGCGATATCTGGTTGCAAATGGCACCGAGAGCATCATGGCCTGAACGAACGCTGCCTGGCTACAGATAGCACAACACATATAATCACATTGAACGAAACTTGTTGCTATGATGCCACCTTGCTGTCACATGTGCCGCCGGGGCAGCTCCGCGCATTTGCTATAATCCGTCATTTTCATGAAAGAGCTGTAGCTGTCGGAAAGCTGGTACTTTGCTTCATTGAAGCGTTGTCTTTATAATGCATCAATGAGCACGGCAGGTCGTAATCACATGCATGGTGACATCACGATGATGCGCTGCTGACGTAGAAGTGAGCGAATGATCCTTCTGGCATTGATATGATGCCTCATGTTTGGAGACAACCGTAAGTTCGTTGGCCCATACATCTCATATGTGTAAACTTGATTTCAGCTGACTGTTTAAATGAATTGTTATAGCCATGTAGAGTCGCTGGCAATCATCATTGTACCCCGGAAAGGAGAACGCCACATGATGTGCAGCTAGGCCGCCGTTAGGCATAGTAAACTGATCCGGTCGCGCACTTGCAATTGAGATGCCGGCCCAGCCAATCAATCGGGTGTCACATACAGTGTGCATCATGCATCAATGGCACTTCGCTAGCTACGATGCAACCATGCGCGGTAGCAGCACGGCAAAGCGTATTATTGAGAGCGGTCCCTGTAGCTTTGGGGATCGAGTGCCATGGGCTGCTATCATCATGCGAAACCGGCTGAGATAGTAGATTCTCAGAAATCTTCCTGTGGAGTGAACAATCCAGTGCGAGGTGGATTGAGCAGTGATTGCGGCATACAGCCGTTCCTTTGAAATGCAAAACGCTCCAGTCTCGTCAAACCGTGAGGCAATCATCCAATTGCGAAGTGCAAGACCGGGCAGCAGTTGAACTTGCAACAGTTCTGGCCGGTGAGGTCCATGATTGGCGTCAACCCAGCCGGCATTTATCCCTGAATGTCGCTCTGTTAATAAGGAACTTGACCTCTGTCTGACCGACTTACAGTTGGGAAAGGACAATGAAAGGGCTGGACCACCGCTCACAACGTCGAGAAAACCGAGCCTACACACATCCCTAATCACACTTAATGTTGCGGTAGATACGCCGCACAAAGGTTGATGATCCCAAGTAGCCGATTGCACCTGCAATGTTGGCATATGCATGTCAGCTTTCAATCAATGCTATCGTCAAGCTCTGAGCAAGCTGCTCACTCTCCTTTTGTGGAAACCCTTGGCGCAGAATTGCTGGATCAGTGGCAGCTTATGACCTCCAGGCAGCGTTGTGCCCCTCATACCAGATGCCAAAAGAAAGAAAAGCCTGACCCATGAAATGAAACAGGGAAAAAGAGGCGCCTGTTGCCACCTGGAGCGATGCGTGCAAGATCCAATTTCTCCTCAAAGCGTGGGTGAAACGAGGTGGGAAAGAGTGCGTATCTAGCGTATCCAGCAAGAAAGCGCTTCCGCAATCTCCAAGCAGCCATACTTGGGAAAAATCGAACCGCCGGCGCACTCACCACACATGATCCCCAGGCCGAGGCAGAACATGAGCGTGTACCCAAAGTAGAAGCTCGTTTGGAAGAAGCCCGACATCTTGGTCTTCATGAAGTAGTAGTATATACTGTAGAGGTACACGTACGTCGCGGTCGACGCCGCGCTGAAGAAGGACGTCCACTGCCAGTGGTAGTTCTCGGCGTTGAGCAGGAAGTACGTGCCGACGATGGTCACGCACACGGTCACGATCACCAGGATGATGAACACCAGCAGCATGAAGCCGTACACGTAGTACACCTGGGGGGCGGACGAACGTGACGTGAGCAGGGCGTTGGCGGAAGGATGACGGCAGAGGGACGGTGTGAGCGAAGGTCTTACGTATGATCGATGGTGCAGTAGCAGTGACCCTTATAATCATCATCAGCCGAAACTGAGCGGAGGGCAGGTGAGATGGGTAGGGGGGCAGGGAGTCAGTAGAACGATGATGTCAGCATGCATGCAGCAAAAAGAGCCACACATGCATGCCTTGCCAATGACCAGGATGATGAGCCCCCAGAACCGTACATGTGGCACACTAGAACGCAAAGCGGGGGATGAGATCGGTGACGGGTCAGCGATTACGACCAGAGCGGGACAGCGGCTTACAAACAACTGGCCAAAGTCATATTGACAGCCCGTCTGTTGGGACGACGAGCCTAGAGCAAAATTTGTGGCAGCACGAGTTTGGCACTTTTCACCAAATGTGCAGAAGGGCAGCAAACAAACGGACAGCTGGCAAGGTCAGGGTGAAGAGAGGCGGTAACTGGTACACAAGCGCTGCGGAAGTGCAGTAGCGAAAGCGTCTAAACGCCCACCTTATAGTTCCAGAAGGACGTGAAGATGAAGTACATCTCGATGAAGATGCTCCCGAACGGCAGCAGGCCGCCCATGATCGCCACGACCGTCGGCGTGAGGTACCACTTCTTCTGGGGGATGGGCCGCGGGATGGTTTTCACTCGGCACGGGTTGTCCGGGACGCCGCTCCAGTTGCGGCCCACAACGGTGCCCGCCAAGCACAGCGGGAACGAGATGAACGCCCAGATGAGGAAGACAACGACCTGAATTACAAGGAAGCAAACGCTTCGGTTGATATCCAGCAGATTTCAAGGTGAGATAGTCTTCTAGGAATCCTTTCTGGGCCTTCACACCGATCAAGGGGCACCTACAAAAGCAAGACGACCGCCCAGGTGAGATAGTTACTGCCCGGGTTTAGAGGGTGCAGTAGCTCAGAAACATATGGTCATAGTCTGAAAGATGCTGTCAAATTAGAATCGTAACCGTCAACTGAAGCATGCTTCAAGAACTAAATCACTCAAAGCTGGACTTCGAAATGGATGCTCAGGTGAGAAGCACAGCCACATGCAAAAGCAAGGTACGAGGGTTGACATAACTTTTTGAAAGTCAGAACCTGTCAACCGTGCAGCAAGCAATGAGACTTCCGAAGGCTTGAATCACGATCCGTTGTATTAGACCCCACGATTAGGGAGATGTGATACGAGGGCCTGTCGGAGACAAAGACTTGAGCCTTAGCTCTGCACTTGCGTCCGAATCATCCCCGTTGAGTTCCAACCACTGCAGTTTTGAAGTAGCACCATCAACAAGGAAGGGTTCATGTAAATAAGAGAAAGGCCTTGCACATGCGCGGGGAAGAAGACAGTAACCTTACGAATCCACCCAGAAACCCTGGATGGACTGCAATATCGCATCCCCGAGCGGCCCCCCGACTCAGATCACTACAGCTCTCAAACCGCACTTGATACGTCCAAGCCAGACCGGAGATCCATAAGGCTCAATATTCTGCAGCCAAGCGGGAGAAACTCCAAGCACCAGAAAGCAGCCCTTACCATCGTCCCGAATGGGATGGCCGCCAGCGAGTGGTAGAAGATAGCCACCGTGTTGAGGATGAAGCCGATCCCGAAGGACGCGAATGGGAAGAGCGAGGCCGTCAGAAGCATCGACTTGATCCAGTGCTTTCCGTCGCTCCGCGAGTAGAAGCCCCCGCTGACGTATCCCGCCACGAACGACGTCAGCGCGTAGCAGATGATGAACGCGGTGACGATCGTGCCTCGCCTGCAGGGTGCGGGAGAATGAGGTGATGAAAGATTTTTCTTCTTGCCTTTTTGGGTCTACTCTTGGTGTTAGAGACATTCAAATGAATGGCGTTTGCACAAGCGTTTTGTAGCTCCGAACATTCGGAAGTGGCTCCCCGAAGTATATAATCTAACAGGGCTTTGCATCTCATCGTGGAATCGGAACTTTCGGTGGACGATCTGGCCAGGTGTGTCCGGAATCAAGCAAATCCAAAGCTGAGCAACTCCACATATTCAGCAGAAAGATGGTTCTGAATGACGACCAAGCAACGGTAAATGGCAAAGCAATACGACAACAAGCCCACAGCACACACATCACGTCAGCAATGCCTCAAGGAGAGAAAGCGGACCTTGAATCAGATTGAAACGTGCGACTCAAGGGGGTCCCGTTGAGTTAAAAGAACGCTCACCCGACATAGAGCATGCCAATGATGGCAATGATGATGACCGACAGGATGAGCAGGGCGAGCTGCGCTCCCGTCCCCACGAGGGCGGCCAGCAGCACCAGGTTCCGGGGCGCGCGGAACACGTCACCATGGACCAACTTCCAGCCAGACTCCTCGCTCACGTCGCGCTCCTGGAGAGGAGACGATCCGAAGCCTTTGAAGGCGGAACGCAGAGATTTGAAATGGCTGGGGGCCAGCACAGAACCGTATCGCTGCCGTCCATCTTCCGCATCCAATGATCGAACGCTCCAGCTTCTTGTTCTTAAGCGGTTTTGCCGGGTTTGAACCGAACCAGCTTCTAAACCCCGTCCTGATGCGATAGGGCCGCCCGAGGCCCAACAGTGCAGAATGGGATTGTTATGTGAAGATCGGACGGCTGCGACACAATTGGCTATCTTGAACTTCTACGATCCGCATGTTTACTAACAAGGAGCCAAGAAAGACAGGGGGCGCTTTTACAGACGTGTAGGTCCAGCGCGTTGACGAAGATCAACAAAAGCGGACCGGAAGAAAGATCCCCAGCGTAAAGAGACGGAACGTGTGGACTGGGGACAGTTGACAAGGAATCTATGCAAAGCCGTTGCTTTGTGCGACGCAGATGTAGAAAACGTTGACACTGCAGGAAAAGTCTCTAGAGTGCCTTCTTGACACTCTGTTGAACAGGTGATTAGCAGGTGACAGTAGGCTGAACGTTCGTGGATTAGAACGTGACATGCACCATGTCTGTACCACAAAGAGGCCCATTCGACCTCTTCAGATTCTGCTTCCATGTTGACCCATGTTTATTTATGACACTTGTTGATGTAATGGCAGGTCGCCAAGCATCTGTTGGACTCGTCCTGGCCCGTTAAGGAGCGCGTCAAGAAATTGCTCCCTCCAGCGACCAATCAGCTTAAAATCCACTCTAGCGGTCGCTGTAAACAGAACGTGCTGCGACAATACGGCGATAATCGGTCAGATTCAAACGTGCGTCCTCAACAAGCCACTGCCCTATAAAGGAGTGTCCATATCCTCCAAAAGTTGTCCCACTCACCAGCGTCTCCAGGTCATCCTCCTCGCGCGCATACTTTGCATAGTCGTTGCGCAGCGTGCGCATCAGGATCATTGACACCAGGCCCGTCAGGAAGATGACCATCATGAACGAGTTGAAGATGGAGAACCAGTGAATCTGCACACAGGGAAAGCATGACCGCACTAAGCACAAGAAACTTTGTTCCATCCGTCGAAGATTTACAATGAGTGTGCACGCTATCAGAGAGGTAACCCGTTTGCACGACTGGTTTCCGGCACTGCTGGAATGAAATGCAACTTAGGGAGTATGTTGTAGAGCCCAATCCATTCCAGGAACAGACTTGTTTGAGGTGTTACTTCACAAGTATGACCTCCTGATGTGTGCAGCCGTCACAAGCGGCGCATCCCGAAGTTACCCCTCTGTCCCCTGCAGCGTCCTCCCCTTATCTTTCTAAAAGCATGTGTGGTGTATTGAACCAGTATTTAGCCCACTCGCATCACAGACCTCCTCGCCTGCCCCTCTTGTCACCCCAAATGGCACTCAAGTATTCATCGTATCAAGAACGCGCAGATGCCGACTTTTACAATATGCATGAACCCAGCCCTACGCATTCAGGAGCATGAAGCCTCAGACGCCATCCTTCCAAGGTTTTACTCGTGACTGCCAGTGTGCCTGTCCAAGATCTCAATTCAGCAACTGACTATAGCCACAAGAACTCCTACAGTGACTTCACAACACACTTCTTTTGTAAACCAGCAAAGTGCAGGACGTCTCACCTGGTGTTCAAAGAAACATCTCAATCCAGCAGGTGCCTATAACCGCAAGCACTCCTGTGATACTTTCACAATGGCTTCCTTCTTTGTAACCAACAAGTTGCACGACACCTCACCTGGTGTTCAAAGAAGTTGTAGTCAAGGTAGCGCTCAAAGCGCTTGGCGAAGGGGATGGTGGACGCCTCCCACTTGACCGAGTATGTGAACTCCAGGGACGTCCCAGGCACCAGCGGCTTCGGCACATCGGACGTCAAGTTCACTTGGATAATCTGCGTTAAATGCAGGGGGATCGCTCACTTGATCGCTCAAATTTTTTCAACATTGTAGACGTTTGTTTTCACTGTGTCCATCGGTGCTTCGAGTATGGATCTTCACAATGGTCGGTGGGCATTTGGCAGCTTGCAAAGGATGGACTTGCAGAATTCTGGGTGTAATATCTTCGAATGTTTGCTTTTCCCGCCTAAGTACTGGCAGCTTGGCCACCCCTTTTCTAACAACCAGCTTTCGAGTTACGCGCCTTTTGAGGTGCTCGGACCTTCCCACAACTTGCTAAGAGGCAGCGTCGAAGGCAGAGGGTATCAGCTGCAGTGTTTGAGTGAATTCAACAAGGGGCTGTCAGCATTATAGTAACCATCTCATGACAAGATATGGATAATTGCCGAGAAACCCTGTTGGGGCCTAAGGCGTAATTACTTGCCTATTGTTTCCACCCCCTTCTAGAGGCACACAGTGGTGCTTTCAGGAATCCCTCAGAGTAGCATGATGGAACTGACCTGCTCGTTGTTGTAATTGATGTCAAAGCTCTTGTGCGTGTAGATCAGAACCTGGTCCTCCTGCTTCGCCTCGCCTTCCGCTTGCTTCTCCCCAGGAATTGACTCGCCAACGAATCCTGGCATGCCACGTCAACCTCGTTAACATTGTCAATAATGCTCCTATGAATAGCAGGGGTCCAAAACCAGCTCAAATTTTAGATATAAAAGCGCTGCACGCAAGTCTGCTTGTGCTTGAGGCGACAATACTTTAACCTATGCAGCGGCGTGAAGTCAGACCGCTGACTGCCAACTTGATGTGACACTTGATATCAGCATATGTTCCATATCATGTAACCTTTCCACTCTCTTGCTCTCAGACTCCACATGTGCTTGCACACTTACCCCAAATCGGGAGGTCATCTGCATAACAAACAAAAGGGCGTCACAAAGCTGGCTGCAGTGACATCAGCAGACAGCACAGCCACCTTAATCACAGCGAGAATCTATCAATGAGATTTGACAAGAAACCACATTTAGTGAACCTTCTGAAGGAATCCTACAGATCATGTCTTCAACTCAATGCTGTTTGCGGGAATTTGACACTTAAACTAAGGGGCAGCAAGAAGCCAGGTTGATCCAAATCCTGCTTTTCAGATTGACACAAGCGACATTGCATTGCCTCGCCCGACTCACCCATGAAAAGCTCGTACCAGTAGTGGTTCTGAATGGCATACTTGAACTGGTCGGCGGCTTTCTCATCCAAGGGCGTCTCACAAATAACAGTCTTCTGTGTGTCCACTGCGATCAGTGGTAAAATCCTTGTTTCAGCGGACGCCACTCTTGGTCTCAGGCACAATCAAACCCTAAGTCATCAGTGCGCAGATCTGCATAATTGCCATCGAACGATCATCAACGATAAATGCACCATTACGGAACGGGCTGCTAGGATGCAGCGCACTGCAATGAAACCACCTAGCCGTTTCGAGCAGCCCTTGACTCTGAGTCAGCCCGCAGGAGGACTAGTACTCACTTCTGAACTTGAATGAGAGCTGGCTGTCAATCAGCTCATTCCCCTCCAAAACTTCCCCTAATCCACCCCATTTGTGCTCTGGCCGTTCCTTGCCCTCTCCGGGCTTGCAGAACGGCAGAGTGTAGTAGTTGTACGTCTCTTGGGGATTGTTGTACGGGCCTACTTTGTTGACCCAGAGGGTGACTGGATCGCCCAGCGCATACTGAAGAGACGAGTCAAGAAGCCAAAATCAAAGGTCAAGTGCAGATGCTCATTCCAGGTCTTGCACGAGCGGGGTCATTAAAAATCCTATCAGAGCTTACATGGAGCAACTTCGCAAATCAATGTGAGAGTTGCCTCCATGAATGCAGTGGTGACCTTTCATTGAACATTGAAAAGGCGTCCATTGCTGCTCAGAGATGCACAAAGAGCAGGACCTGACTGAAAACGTACAGGTCTAATGTCACAGAAGCTTAAGCTGACTGATGCTTACCTTGTGATCATACTCCTCAGCAGCACATAGGCCTGCCAGAAGGAGCGAGATCAACAGTCCTGACAAGAATCTCGCTTGCACCTCCAAGGTACCCATCCTCCTGTATTCTTGGTGTATATAACAGAAACAGGGCAACCCTAGAGATGGAGATTGGGTGGCTTTGCAAAGAATGACCGCCTTTGATGTGAAAAGCTCATCTGTAATCCTGCTCACTCATTCCCGGCTATGAGAACCCAACTCTTTGTAGTGCAAATCCTAGCAGCTGCAATGTGCTCCAAAAAGCTACCGCCGTCACCGTTTCTGCTGCCCGTCTCTGAAATTCATTCAACCGTCCATGAAAAGGCTGGCCACCATCATCAAGAGACAATGGGGTTGCTCAAGCCCGCACGTCTCACTGCTCTCAGCAAGAGCGCCCCGTAACAACCAGAATTCACAGCAAATTGAGTCTGCCATGTCCTGTGCATCTATCCATTTGCTGTTCACTTCCGCAGCAGATGCTCGTTGCTGATGTCCTGCGAAATTGGCGGTGAGCGCATTCTCGCAGGCAATTGAAGAACGCTGTATAGGCAAGGTCCTTATGGTCACGCACTCCCAGAATGATCGAGACGGGGCTAAAAAGTATCGAGACAGCCTGCGCCATACAGGCTACAGCGGGTTTCGGAGTCCGGTTGTGTGTGAAAAGCCTCCTTTCTTCCAAATGCTCCGCCCGCTTCTTGCCGAACCGTTCGATGATGAATGAAAGCAATGCGAACCGGTGGATAGGAGTCTTGGTTCACTTCGAAAATTGCACCCTCTCCAGATCAAGACCACTAGCAAGTTGAACGTGCGAACTGCACTCGCAGTCTGCAGAACGAAGGGGGTTCGCGCGACGACAGACGTGAAGAGAGGCGTCGGATTGCCTTTGCAATGCTGGGGTTTTGTCAGGTTCGAAAGCGAACGAGGCCGCAACGTTCTGGAAAGCAAGTAGATTTCTGGTGGAGGAGGAATTGTCCAACAAGAAGGACAGATTGCAGTTGAGGATTGGGAAAAAGAGCAACAAAGAGTTGGGGGTCGTTCTTGTAGGTGGACGCAGTTCTTCTGCAAGGAGAGGCTTTGTAGAAACGACAAGAGCGGTGCACTTCTCACCGCTTCCTTGAAAAGCATCTCCTTGCTCACAATTGAGGGTGCATTAATCCAGTCAAGATGATTGGGTCATTCATCACAAGGGGCGCTATGTGAGTGTCTTAACTCAGGGTTGTGTGGCTTCAATACTCAGGTCTTTCAACATATAGGTTTGTTTGTGAGTCATAAGCTTTCTGTGAAAGGCCAGCATCCAGAAACTCTGAATGTTCCTCTAATCAGTATGCTGCATTCTCAATTGAGATTGTGTAATGCTTGCTCACAATCTGTCCTCTGCATGCTCTGAGTTGCACTGCTCAAGTGAGCTGCCACCTCACACACTCTCTTCCGCTTCTGAGGCCAATGTATGCATGCCTTCAGCATGTGACTACGACATTGAGGCTCCTTTTGAGGGGCTTGACCGCAGTGTTTGTTCATACGAGCTTTCTGGAAGCCCGTCTCGTTGGTGCGAAATCGCCTGACAAAAGAGCGTTGTGCCGCAGAATGGCGTTAGGGTACTTGTACCCTGCCTATGAGTGCTACAAAGCTGTGGAGAAGCCCCGCCCAGACATGGACCAGTTGCGATTCTGGTCGCAGTACTGGTGAGCACGTTCTCCTTAGCTTATGGCAGCATTGCGGAGCTTGTGACGCCATTAGGTGCACCTCCTGTCACGATGAGATAGCTCTCCGAAACAGCATTTCACTGCCACTTCTTGGGTAATTGTAAGGCCGCATTTGTGAGTAAGCAACATTCTCTACTCGTTGCAGCTTTCTTTGTATCAGGGCTTTGTGGGAAGCTCTTGCCATGAAGCTCTTGTCTCCATCTTTCAGGGTGATCATGGCTGTCATCACGGTCTCAGAGAGAGTAGCTGACGTCTTCATTGCATGGTGAGAAGCCGAGCAGCCACGGACTGCATCCATTCTTCTTCCTAAAGCTCAAAGTTCATCCTCTAAAACGTCAAGAGACTGCATGTTTAAACAAGCCCCATGGGTTGTTCAAGAACGTCCCTTTCCGGTACCATCGCTTGATGCCTGTACCAGCTTGGATCTTGATGATGTCACCTAAGCACGGTAAGGAAGGTGCATGTAGTGCGCCCCAGGATTCATTGACTGCTATTGATCACCAAAAGCCTTCTGCAAGTCTTGTGCAAACTGCCCCTTCGTTGATATTGGTGCAGGATTCCAATGTACTGCGAAGCTAAACTGGCCTTTATTGTGTACCTCTGGTATGACAAGACAAAGGTATGCTAGAAGCTTTTCCCCCTTCTTCTGCGTTGTGATATCAGTCAAGTGAAAAAAGTTGTCAGTTTTTGATTCTGTGAGCATGTATCCCAATCATTTTGTCCTGTTCGTCTTAGGCTCTGCTGGACGAGTCGTTGAGCAAAAGTTGTGGACTACAGTGGCTCACCACATGTTTTAGTTCAAATGGGCACAACCCAGCGTTTGATACTTCTTCAGCCTCCCACGGAGTCGTTACAAACCTTCTGCTTTCGTAGATATGTGATTGCAATCCTAACATTCAGAGACTTTGATCCAGTGTATCGGAGGTCGTTCTTGTTTCAAGGGATCTTTTAGGACGATCCTGTGCAATTGTTTCTGTCTGAACAAAGCCCTTCAGGTGACTTCATGAATTGCATCTTCTCCTAGCGGCATGCAGAGTGCTTGTTTGAGACATTGCATAGATCTGGAATGATACAAACCGGTCAGCAGATCACTTTTGAAGTTTCTGATGCAACTTCGGCCCTCGACTGATTCCATTGACTGGGGCCAACACAGTTCACCAGGTTCTGAAACCTTTCTGCTCCAACCTTCCTGCAGGGCACGACGTACATCTACCAGCAGTTCCTGAAGCCGGTGCTGACTCAGCACGAGCCCGAGATCGACCGCCGCCTGCACGAGCTCAAGACGCGCGCGGGGGACGTCGCGCTCGAGTATTGGCGGCTGGGATACAACTACGCCTACGGAAAGGTTCTTATGCTGCTCACGCAGGGGTCGCTGCAGCCGCCCCCGCCCCCGCAACAGGACTACAGGGCGCAGCCGCCACCCCCGCCGAGGGTAAGGGGCTGTGCTTTTTCGTATGGATGTTAAGTAAGAGACTTTTTGGTGGGTCGGATCATGGAGATTTTGGAAGATGGCAGCGGTTTGGAGTTGCGGCAACCAAGAAGGTGTGGGATCAGGCAAGGATGCGAAATGCACCAGTGCGATGCACCTTCTTCTTCTCCAATCGCGTTTGCGGCTGCGAGGACTTTGGCAGGTTTGGTTTGCTTGGGTTGATGCGAGACTTGAGGGCGTTTTGTTGGTCCTGCCTTGTTCCCTTTTGCTGGACGGGTGCAAGAGGCCGCGTCAGGTACGGACAGTTCCTGTTGTTTGCTAAGATAGCCTGCTCAAACATTAACTCTCAGCTCCTCATCTTGTCAACTACTGTTACGTCCCTGCATATTTTCAGGGTCCGCCCGCATTCTTGAGACAAACACATCCGTAGACCCTCCGATCCTGTAATCGTTATTCCTTGCGTCGATAGTCCTCCGTTGCTAAGTCGTCAACTTGATGCAGGAGTATGGCCGGCGCACTCGGGACAGGGCGTACCCGTCATACGTGGTCGAGAACGACGGCTCCGATTACGAGGTCGTCGAGCCAAACGAGCCGGAGCCAATGGATGCAGCAGATTACGCGACACCTACACCTGTGACACGCAACGTCCGCCAGCGAGCAAACCGTCAATATTGACCTCAAAAGCTAGGTCGACGAAAGTAGAACTACAAGCCATGGGGCACAGTCGGTTAGAAGTATACGAATGAAAGTCAAGCTCCGTGCATTCCGTTATGACAACACATAAGGCAAACAAAGGAGGGAAGAAAATGTAGTATGTACAGTACCGTTCGATTAGAAACTTCAGTTCCTTAGCCAAATGTAGTCCTGTACATAGTGACCTCATCAAGTCAAGTGGAAGTAAGCGACAATATGATGCAGCATACGGTAGATTGTGCCTCGATATGTGCTTGAACCTGGCATGTGTCGAAGACTTCTATCATGTATACTTGAAGCAATGACGTATGCATGACGTTCCAGGACTCGAGTCCCTAGGTTTCAATGCATGTGATGTCGCCCGCAGGCGGCCACGGCCCAATTTGTCTATACTGGTATCGTACTGCTATAGAACTAGAGATCAAGCTAGCTAATTGAATCTATATCTCATGTATAGGATCAAGCGCGAATTCGTCAGCTTGTGCACATATATGCATGCATTCAGCTAGCTAGGCTGTCAATATGCATGCGCTAGCTAGTGCAGCCATGCATGTGCACTCATTCTCTGAGAAATCCGCATGCAGGCGACAGCCGCATTGCCTGCGCGGCGCGGCCCCGCTTACTAAACTCAAGCTAGCAATTCGAGTTGAGAAAGATGATATATACCATTGATGATATCCCGCGCCAGCATAAGTACGCGAGACTACATCATCAAACGCAGTGTAAACCAATTTCAAGCAAGAATGTACGGTATGCCAAATCAAGGACAACATGAAGTGCAGAGCATGCATATATGCAATCAAGCCTATTGACGGACATTGAACCCTGCCTTACCAGCTTGGGCATAATTTCACTGATGAATTGAATAGGAGACCAGCAGAGCTTTCAGAGAGTAAACCGAGCTGCGCCCGAAACACTTGAATTCAAAGAATGAAATCTACATTAGACTCCGAACCTCGACTGCTTGATCATAACCACTGGTTTTTCAGCTGGTTACGGTGCGCTATCGCTGCAGAAACAACGATTGCGCCCACAAGAATGAGGATCGTGAGCACTAGGAGAGCATAACTAAAGTCTTCCGTGAGGAGGTCGTAGGTTTTGCTGGGGGCGGTGCGCATGTAGTAGAGATCGATCCCATACGCGAACATAAGCGAGTTGGACTCAAGTCGGGCGGGCGCTGTCGCGATGCCGCGAAGGCCCTCGACCTGCAAGCAACGCCGATGCAAAATCGTTACAAAACAGCCTGGTTTAAAGATGTCGGTTGTTAGCCAAAATCGCTTCCAGCTTGTTTCGTCATTTAGGGGGACCACTGGCCCCACTTGTGGGGTCTGTATAACAAGATTGTAAGCGTGAACTCCGTGCCATTTCCAACCCCAGCTACGCCAAACTCACCACTTCACCTCAGAACTCCATTCTCAACCGTGCTTCAAAGACGTTCCTCGAACTTTGAATGGTATACATGCGTGAATGCTCTCCGGGTCATCACCAAGCCCGGATGCACCTTCTGTATGAAAGCTCCCTCTGTGGATGCTACTTAGATGAATAGCATTCTTAGACCTTCAAGGGGACTTCTGTAGAAAGATGTACAGGTCAGAATGATGGACCGGGCACTCCTCGGGGGACGGCCTCATCTGGTGGTTGTGCCTGATGAAGAGGGGCGGTAGGGATGGTAGCACGTCCCAGTGCGTTTGAACACTTTCTCAAAAGTTATGAAACTTGATAAGGTAGAACCAATCCGGGTGAAATCAGAGCAACGAGACTCCTCGAGAAACGGGCTCATCTGGTGGTTGCGTTTGATAAAGAGGGGCGGTAGGAAGGGCAGCGCCTCCTGGACTCTTGAAAAGTTTTCCAGGAGCTCTAAAACTTGATCGAGCAAGAGTAGTCCGGGTAAAACCGATACATCGAGACTCCTCGAGCAACGGCACTTGGTGGTTGTGCGTGATGAAGAGGGGCGGTAGAAAGCAGCGCCTCCCAGACTTTTGAACAATTTCATAGAAGCTAACATGATTTGAGTGAATAGCCCGGGGAAAGCCAAAGAAAATGAGACTCCTCGACAAACGGGCTCGCCTGGTGGTTGTGCGTGATGAAGAGGGGAGGGACAAAGGGCAGCGCTACTGGTCTAAGGACTTTTCTTTCAGAAGCTTCCACACATGATGGATTAAGAAACGGGCTCACCTGGTTGTTGTGCGTGATGAAGAGGGGCGGAAGGAATGGCAGCGCCTCTCGGTACTGGATGAGGCCCTCCTCCTGGTCTTGGGGCGTGACCACCTCGGGCCGGCGGGGGTCCACGAAGCGACGGTCCAAAGCCACGATCTGAAAGTGAGGAACATAGAAAGTGAATGAAAAATGCAACCTATGAAAACAAAGTGCAAGTTTCAGCCGCACTGTCCGTTGGAACATGGAAGAGTAATGTTAGTGGGGCCGGCAGGGGTCCACGAAGCGACGGTCCCGAGCGACAAATTGCAAAGGGGAACCAAGAAAGTGTAACAAGCTGTAGAAAGCAGCAATCGTCAAAATTCTTGATAGAAAGCTTTTTGACTGAACATACGAAAGACTTCAAGCGGGCCGGCAGGGTCCCCGCGGCAAAAGTCCAAAGCCACAATCTGGAATATCCGAGGAGTAGGAGAAGCTCCGAAGTATTGGAAAAGAATGTCGCGCTTTACAGTAGAGAGGTATTAGTGGACGGAGGGAAGGCTGAAGGGCGGTAGCTCCGGAAGCGAGGGTCCACAGTCACAACCTGGAGAATGAAACTCAAGAGAGTGGAAAGCTGGGAAGTATGAGAAGGATTCGCATATGGGAGCCGCAATGTTTGTTGAGATGGGGATTAAAGTGGGGTAGACTTAAGAGGCCAGCAGAGGTCTATAGGAGGTCCAGTGCTATATCTGGGAGGGGAGTAGAAGCGTCAAGACTTGAATAACCAAGTCTTGTCACAAAATCCGCAAAAACCGCACGAGTTGGAGTCTGCTAGCAAGATCAATATCTACTGTAATAACCTAGCAAATGAAATAGGGGGCGATACAAAGAGGGAACAGGGGAATAGATTCAATAGAAGGCGATGCAATCAGAGGAAACAACTTCCAAAGACAATCCAGAGATTCCTCACCTGGTCCGAGCTCGTCCCGATCAGTACCTGCTTCCCTGTGATCCCCTTCGCGGTTAACGTAACCGCCATCATCTTAACCGTCTGAGGGAAGAAGTACGACTGCGCCACGACTTTGATTGGGGGGGGCGCGAGCGAAGACACTGGGACAGTCACGTTGGACCCCCCGAAGAGTGCGCCCAACACGTCGATTTTCTCGGAGTCGTGAGACTCGTCGAACATCTCGAGGGCGGAGATCTCGGGGCGGAAAGCGCGCGCGTTGAAGTAGCTGTATGCGATCCAGTTCTCACTGAACACGCCAGACACGGGGCCCTGCACAAGTATCGAAAGGTGCTTCCTACTAATCCAATCACCGAACTCGCTTCTTACGGTGTTGCTTCCCTTTATTGTTTCTGTCTTAAAGGAGCTCTGAGGACCCAGTTCTCGCCGCGGGCGCCACAAGCGAGACGCTGCGGGCGAACAAACTAACTTTGTTTGAACCTGCTTCATTTACCAGGTGTCACGTGCAAACTTTCGTGTTTTCGTAACGATAGTCGTCCAGTTCTTCGCACAACACAGAGCTACGAAAGCGGCCTGAATACGAACTTCTCGTTGCGTTTAGAGTCTTTAAGAATGAGAACGGTAGAATAACAGAGTTCCTTTAAGCTGCTGACCACAGACACCGCTGGCTCGAAGTTTCGTCCGCAACACCATCATCTCTTTCTCATGCATTCTCTGTGGTGCCATGCGTTGCTCCCCGTTACGTCTTCTGCAATCAAACAGTCCCGAACTGCTAGCCAGGACGTCTCTACCCATTGAGCTCAAGCGTAGATGACACCACTAAGACGTGGGCTCACCTGTGCGTTCTGGTGCGTGACCCGGTACAGGACGCGGCCGGTGACGGTGTCAAGCAGGTAGGCGACCACGGAGCGCTCGTCGACTGGCTTGGAGGACTCGTCTGGCGTGGTGGTCGCCACGAAGATGGTGTTGCGGTTGAGGTACTTGTGGAGGACCTGGTGGTTGCCCAACATGCGCAGCTGCAGAGAAGGAACAATTGGTGTTTTTAAGGACCCGAGCACAGGAAGTAAGTAGAAGTTCGCCGCTGATCTCTAAACCTTCTCTCTTCTTGTTGCCTCCCTTATTGACATGACATGTTCCAAAAACGGTAAGGCATTTCCATTCGCAACCGTATTGGCCGAAACCCTTACCGGGTTGACCGCGTTGACCGAGACCAAAACTTGAGCGACTAACCCCCTACTAACCCCCGCAGAATTCCTGCTTCGAACACGAAAATTTTAGAACCCCATACTAAACCCTTCATTGCAGAATTTCCAAGGGGGAGGACATTCTAGTTATCAGCTTTCTTTCCTCGCCTCCTTCTCTGTGCAGGCCCGACGTTGCCTGCTGCGTGTCGTCTTTCCTTAGCTTTTACATGTCGACTCTGGTTGCAATCCCTGTGCTCGCTGTTCTTGTTCACGAAACTCATCCGACTCATCAAATCACCGCTTCTCATCAGGAGAAACCAGAACAGTTCCAATGTAAACGGCAAAATCGACTTACCTGCGAGTGAACGCTCTCTTCCGGCCGCCTCCCAAAGACCGCCGCAATCTGCTCCGTCTCTTTTGGGAACACAATGCTCCATAACTCCACCGACGAAGCCGCGGGGGATCCCTCGGAGCGTCCGGCGCTGTCCGGTGCTTGCAGGACATAGCCGGTGATCGTGCCCGCTTTCTTGTCCACCCTGGAGGAACGGAAAGCAGATTGGTAAGTGCGGAACGGAACCGGAAAATGAAGGGCGGAACACGGTTGAAGCCAAGGGGGATCCCTCAGAGCGTCCGGTGCTGTCCGGTGCTGCAACATGCAGCCGGCTGTGCCCGCTTCCTTGTCCACCCTAAAGGAAAGGAAAAGCAAACTTGCTGAGCGGAAAGGAACGAAACGGAATGTGGAGTACTGTTGTAGGGCGTTCGTGCTTGCAAGGGGTGGCTAGTGACTGTGCTGGAAACGTTGATGGCTTATTATTGAGAGGTTCAGGGCCGTTCAAGGGCACGAAAATGTCATCATGGGCAGCTGAGAGTTTGCAGCGAGAAGCCACTGATCGTGGGCCCTTTCACTTGAAAAAGCAAATTTAAGGTTGCTTAGCACTGGAGCGCTTTTCATGGATCGAGTCTCATCTACTGAATATGCCGGCTTGATAAATCGCCCGACATCGACTCGATTGAAGTGGGTAGAACTAGGAACTCCTTCCATCTTGCTTGGTTCACGGACGGCCAAGCCTGTGCTTTTTAGACATTGCAGACATCCTTCCGTCCACTTCGTGAGAAACTAACTCTTCCTGCATGAGCTAGGAAAGATGCACTGGCAAAGCGACCCCCCGACTCACTTGTAGTAGAACGTCTTGCCCAGCAACCGCTCCCGGAAAAGCGCCCCCGCCTCCGCCGTCCCCGGCACCACGTGGGCTCCCCCCTCCGGGTCTACCAGCAGCACGAGCCGCTGTTCCGCCGGATCCTTCAACGGAAGCGGAATCACTTGGCTGACTTCAAATCCTAAGCTCTGTTTCCGGAGCACTGCGCCAGTGTGGCCATTCACCCAGATCATCTCCCCCTCCCCGCCAAGAACCATAATCTCAGGGGGAGTGCGCGGAGAGGACGGAGTGCGTGAGAGGAAGAGTCGTTGGGGCGATTTCGTGAGGGGTGGGGTCGACCAGATAACGCGGCCGTCCCCCGTGTGGAGTCCCAGGACTTTGCCGCAGGAAGTCAGGACGACAATCAGGCGGCGGAAGCCGTTGTGGTCCATTGTGACCTTCATCTTCTCCGCGGAAAACTTGCGGGCGTTGGCGAGCTGCTGCTGCTCCTCTTCGGACGCCAGAAACAGGGTCACCTGCAAATTCGAGAGTATATGTGGTGCTTCAGCAAACTTGGTTAAAGAGAAGGTCAATGATGAAACCTTCATCTTCTCCGCGGAAAACTTGCGGGCGTTGGCGAGCTGCTGCTGCTCCTCTTCGGATGCCAAAAATAGGGTTACCTGCAGATTCAGCAACATATGTGGAGATTAAGCACGTACCTGCGGACTTGGTTCAAGAGGAGGTCAATGATCGAGTTTTCAACTTTTCTTACGGCAAGTCTGCGGGCCGTTGGAATCTGCTGCTGCTCCTTTCGGACGCCGGAAACACGGTTGACTGCCGATTTAGAGGTTCACATGGCAAGCCAGGAGCAAAGTTCCTAACTGAGATCTTTCAAACAACTCTGAAAGAATGCACTATGTGGTTTGTAACAGAATCACAAGGGGTTCCAAAGAGGCAAGCAACAACGACGGGTTACCTGCTAAAGACACACTCGTCTCAGCAGATCAATCTGCTGTGTCGAAAGTGGAACGCAAAACTTGACACAGCGACGTCTTGCTGGACCGCACTCAAGAAATGCGAAAGCTTGGAGTCGTGAGAATCGTCTTCCCTGGAAGAAGATAATCCAACTTCTCCTCTAGCCCCACCCTTGCAGCCAGGAGCTACTTTTTTCTCACTCCTCGATGCCATGAAGTAGTGCGCCTTCATGCCAGTTTTATCCAAGGCGTTCGCAACAGCACTTCGGAACACATTAGCTATCCAACTCATTTACACGACCGGTAGAATCTCACACACAATGGGAACGACACCTTTTTAAAAGAACCTTCATCGAATCCGACCCACCTTTGCGGCGAGCAGCTGGAGCTTGACCCACTCCTCGATGCCCTCCTCCACACGCTTCACGGCGCTCTCCTCGTCAGGGGGTAGGTTCACAAACTGCACTCCGACCACCCCCGCGAGCGCCTCCTCTCGCGCCCACACCACTTCCCCCTGCTGCAGTAAAGCGAGCGAGTCGTCCCCCCCCACCGCAAGAAACCTGTACCCCCACGTCCCGTCCTTCTTCAGATAGGGGTTGAGAAACACCCGCGAGAGGCCCCCGTGGTTACCCCCCCACTGCACACTCTCCGACTTGGAAACCACGTCCCCGGACTCGCAGCTGAGGACCTGCGCGGAGAGGAGATCGCCGCCGCCTCCCGGGGGAGTAGTGAGTGCTGCGACCACGGCTGGGTCTGTGAGCGAGTCCGACAGAACGAGACCCCCCTCGGACGGAGAAAGAACCGCCGTGCGTGACGGATGCCCGGTCTTTTCGTCAATCTTCAAAAGCACCACGCCGGCGCCGGTTGACAGCGCAACCGCGTTTCCGCTAACCCCCGGAAGCAGCTCCGCGCGGCCCCCTCGCGGGAGTTTGAACGGAAGCAGGTCTGCGGCGGACGCCTCAAACCCGGCAGACCTCTCCAGGGAGTGCGTAACGAGAGTGAGACCGTCGGAAGAGAGCGCCGCTACGTAGCCGTTTGCGAAGACGAGCGACTTGGTCGAGAGGGGTTGGAGGGGCTCGAATTCCATATGGGCCTTGTGGATGGCCTCCTCTTTGGTTTCCGAGGGGAAGTCGAAGGAGAGGATGGCGAGCTTGGAAGCCGCAGTGCCTTCCACGCCCAGGAAGCCGGCGGCGAAGAGGCGCTTGGCGGAGGGGTCGGCGTGCAGCTTTTGGATGCGGATGTCGCTGCAGTTTTGAGAATTTACTTTTGAGTTTTAGAATTTGATATTGAAGGTAGAATGGTCATGTAGCGCTTCAAGCGACAGCAAAGGTGCAGTTTGACACGGTGTGAAGTGTCTTGACAGGTACGTTAGTGAGCAACTTAGGTTCCAGAAGATTGAAAAGTTGAGACCGCAAAGCTCTCAAAAACTTCGAAGTCTCTTGGGACCCGAGAGCTTAGCGGATGTTCATGGCAGGAGCGCACTTGTTCAAAGTGGAGCCATCAGAAGCAAAGAATCAACGTTTGCAAAGGTTCTCTAGGCGGCCGAGATATCAGAAGGGGTACATAAACCTTTTAAAGCTGCTAAGCACTTTGTACTCCGCAAATCCACCTATCTGGTCAGCAGTCTCCATTTCATGAACTGCCAATTCTTCCACGATAATCAAAAGATAGTGAGCGAAGCTTACGTGAGCATTCGGGTCCTCCACAGGAGCTCCCCCGAAAGTGCCGAGTAGACAAAGACGTTGTTCCCAGCCAGAATCGCAACATCGTTTGCACCGTCGCCGTCCCAATCAAACTGCGGAGAGAGGTGCATGTCTCGTGACCAATCTTCGGAAAACGCGGCCTTGTGCCTTGAGACACTGCTTGCTTGGTTGGAAAATGTTGACGTTTTGCTGATAAGTCCACTTTTAGACGAATTTTGAAAAGATTGTTCCGATCCAATCTTCGGTCTAAGCTCCTGCAATTTGATTCATCAATGCAGCACACACATTCCAATCATGACAACTTTAGTGTCTGGCTTCAATAAGAAGCATAGTACGACACTCACCGACAACAGGCCAATGTCCACCGGTGCATCAGGATCCTCCTTTGAGGACGACTGTGGTGCAACTTCCCACAAGAGGACCCCATCATTCGGGTTCCAGGACCGGACGTACTTGCCATCGCCAGATATTGTGATGATAGCTGCAAGGGACAAATGGCAAATGTTCTTACGCCCTCATTCTCAAATCCGGGACTTTCTACATATTCTACGTTAAACAATCAGCTTGACAATCCAAGATCCTACCATATGTTGCAACCCAGATCAGAAGGCTTCTTCAGAAGACTGGATACTACGGATCGAAGTGTCCACAAAATCCTTAGTAGTAAGCAGACAAGCAAGCATGGATCATTGCAGAAAATGTTCAAATGTCGTTACTCACTCCTCCCTGCACTCTCCAATGTCTGAATAGAGTCACCCTCGCCCAACAGATGGCGCCAAGCTGCAAAAGAAGAGCAGGAAACATGAGACGTTCCTGTGTTTACGAGGTTGGCTTCGTCTTTCTCACATGTGAAGGAATGGTAAAAGAAGACCAGAGCAAGCCTCCGTTGACAATAACGACGCCCTTTGAAGACTGTGCAGCTTCTCCACAAAAAGCAGCACCACTCAGGTGCATTCTGGCTGATATTTACAGATGATCGGACGCTAGTGAAGATTGGAGACGGCATCAAAGCTACCGCCTTGCTCGACTAAGAACCGTACCCTTCCGTGCCACCCTCTACCACCACCGTATCACCCGTTGAACATTCGCGGCGACAAATAATCATCAACAATGCAGAACAGTCGATTAGTCGATACTCAGTTGGTCGTACCAATCTGTCCCGTCCGCAGATTGAGAGCCGCAAGGGCATTCTGCTCAGTCGCCACAAAGACGCGTTTCTTCTGTGTCCCCGAGGAGAAGACGGCGCTCTTCACACGCCCCACGTACTGCTGGTGCCTGCTCGTGCAGGCACACAAAACTAGGCGTCAGGAATAATTTGAAACCAAGTTGGCTAAACCCTCTTCTTCCTTGTGTTGTTCTTGAAAGACCCCCCAATGATCACCAAAGAAAAAGAAAATAAACAGAATACAAAGCACTGATTACAACGAAAGTTCTACCGTAAGCTTGAATTAGCAACGTGGACAGGGGGACTGCGCTCGTCAAATCAACCTGCATTTGGTCGGAAAGCAGGCTAACAACCCGCAGTATGTGCAGAAGTGCACCTCAAATGAGTAACTTCGACCAGGCGGATCAAAGTTAGCCAACGACATGACCTCTACATCTGAAAACCGGGTGCTAATCAGTCTGTGTGACAAAAAACTTACTCAATGAAGTGGCAGAGCGAAGAAAGACACTCCGCTGACGAGAATGACTGAAACCACCACGCCTCATAATATCAGAAAGAGTGGACATTGTTCATGATCACGAGAGTATCACGTGCTACAATTTTGCAGTGTCACATACCCCTGATTATGCTGCGCAACACTTCTGCATTCTGATCATCCGAAATGATCAGTCTGCATATTCGGAGAGAAAAGCCGCCAGCAATTGAACTGTAAGCTAAACAACATTGGCACCAAAGCTGCCGCGATCGAAGATCAAGTTGCAATGCAAACAGCACCGAAGTAATCATCAAAGTCGCAACTTTGATTGTATGAGATATTCTAGGAGTGAACACCTAGTATCCAAACGACTTATTTTATGTCTATCATGTTGCTGCTTACCAGTCCCACATGCCAACTTGATCCTCAAACAAGCCCTGCGCTAGTGGGGCGACCACCAAGAAAACCGTCGCAATTGTGAAGAATTTTTGAGCGCCTGCCATGGTCCCACTTTTGGCTGGCAGCTCTTAAGACTTGTGATCGCTCTCCATCAAAAGTGTATGCGTCAAGACAAGTAGCTGCGCCAGATCGCCCAGGAGTCAACTAGAGACGAACGGAAGACCCAGGTAGAGCTAGTAGAGAGCACTGCAAGACGAAGAGTGGCCGCGCCGCGGCGGATGTCCGCGGGGCGGCCGCGGCATGCCATGGCTGGCGCAAGTATCTAGACTGAGACCGAACAGGTTTTACCTCGTCTGCAACAATTATCGCTCCCCTGGCACCGTCTGTGAAGAGCGGGTGTTCCGCTCTAGTTTCCGAAGTCAGTCCTGCCTGGCGCTGGCCTGGATTCGACGACGGCCTACTGTTTCGGTTAAATCGTACCATCATCTGACGTCGAAAGCATTTGTCATCGAATATTTCTACCGAGCAAGTCCAAAGAGAACAGTGACACTGACAGTGACAGCCTGGCTGACTCACGCACACATGATCTCCCATGACCGCAAACTTGGATATATAGCTAGCTAGCGGGTCTGTCAGACGCTGACAATTCCATGGCGGCTGCTGCGGTGACTCCACATTCTGGTGTGTCTGGCAGAACGTCATCCTGTGCTTGGATACGAGCTTCGTTTCAAGGCCTCCGTTGATGCTCGGGTTGTATCCGGTGACCTGCACCCCATCGCTGACAGGACACTCGCAAGTTGAGGCCATGGCTTCTGGGGTCTTGCTGGACTCCTCCCACGATGAAAAGAAGAGGAAATTGTGAGTCATTTCTGGTTGATGTTTAGGTCTCTATGGAACTTCTCGCAAAATTCACCTTAGGAGGAGTGATGACTGACTCCTTGAGTAACTTTTCAGGCAAGAGTAAGTCTTCTTGTGGTTTGTCAGTGGAGTTGCGTGCTGAGCAGTGTCAAAGCTTTCAAAAAGTCTTTACTGTTGTGCTGAGTTCAAGCTGAGTCTGTACTACTTGAAGTGATTATCCATTTGACTTCAATTGTTGATACTTTCGAAGGGGCGAGCTCGTGGTCACTTTTGCGAAATGCAGCAGGCAGTTTGCTTTCCTCATGAGCTCATAGAGGTTTGTTCACATCAGCCGTGCTGCTGATCATACATATCATTGTTGGAAGCGACCAGCAGTTGAATGTGTGGCAGTGACGATTGCTCGGTTTAGACAGCCTTTCGCACAAGAAGCTAATCTGGCGGCGACACCTCTCATTGTGCTGAGCTGGAATTGTCTTCAGTAAACAGTACTGCCCTTCAACTGCCTTTATGGACATAGTTGCCCTTGAGAAGCAGTTGTTCGGAAACTGCACTTCATCCAGCTAAATTTGTGAAACTCTGTGGCAGAAAACCCCAATCTGCTGGCTTTTGGCAGGTCACCAGTTTTGAAACTGACCCTTTCTTTTCGGTTCCCCTACCCCGCACTCTCTTCTCCCCACAATCATATGGTGCCTACCTCATGGGCAAAGCCAGAGAGAATCGGTCTTTTGCAGGTCTCCTGTCTTATGCACAATGACACAATGACACAGAGAAGCGTTGTTTTGCAGGTCTGATCAGATAAAAGAATCTGCTGACCCCGCATCTCTTCCTGGCGACATCACATTGTACTCTTTGCTGACATCACATCTGTGGCCATCTGCAGGCAAGAGAGCTCCCTGCTCAGTATGGACATGGACGTGGACCATGCCTCCAAGAGGCCCTGTTTAGCAACCGGCAGCGACGGCCAAGTAGGAATGGCCAGGCAAAATCAGAACCCCAGCCAGTGGCAGGGCCCTGCTTTCGACTGGGAAGAAGTGCACCGGCAGGCTGATGAGGCGGAGAGTCCGTTAGAGCAGGTCAAAAGGGTGGACTTCCCAAAGACCCTCCGTAGGGCAGAGTCGGAACCGGTCTTTGACACAGGGCCCCCCAGGGGAAAGCCTTGGGCGAGCAGCTTTGGGAAGACTAACCCCCAGCTGACCGGGATGGGTAAGCCTAACCCCCAGCTAAGTGGGATGGTTAAAGGCAGCAACCCGCTCTGGGGGAGTGCCAAGCCGGTGAGGCAGCCAGTGATCATTCAGCCGATGACATCAGCGCCGCTCTTTCCGCCAACAGCGACGTCTGGGCACACTCCCCCCTCGCCGGACAGCAACACATCGTCCCGCCTCAGCAAGCGCTCGTTCGCGGAGGACGACGGGGCGACCGCGTCTGGAGCGGGGGTGTCGGGCTTAAGCCACGAGGGGCCCCCCGGCAAGATGACAGCAGGGACACCTTTGAGGCCCGCACCGAAGCACAGGAGAATTTTGGAGGAGGTCAACAGTAGCAGCGAGGATGAGGGGGATGGCGACGTGGAGCCTCAGACGAAGTCGGTTCTGGCGGAGCAATTTCCAAAAGGGGGGGCCGGCGCAAGCAGGAACCAGGGGGGGGGAGCTCGAAGCGCCGACAGCGGGAGGCTGCTCCAGAGCAGTGCGCAAAATGCCCCGCTCCATGATGGGGGGTTGTTTGCAGGGGGCCGGCGGCAGGTCTTTCCCCCCCTGCCGGGAATGATGAAACGGAGCACCAGCCGTGCGGACCTCACAGAGGAGAAGCGGCCGGCGACGCCGTCTGGGGGGGGTGTGCCGCTGTTTGAGCGGCTGACTCGGGGGCTGCCCCCCGCGGGCGAGAGGTCGGGCGAGTCCGTCGGGAGCGAAAGGTCAGAAGGGGGCCGGTCTACAAAGGACAAAGAGGAGCTCCGGAGGAAGGAGCTGGATTCGGTACACCCTGCGCTGCGAAGGAGCATGTTTCCTTTGCGCTCAGAGAGTGGTTTGTCGGGGCTTGGGACGTCAGACCGTAGAGCTCCGGTGTCAAACCTTTCTGGGGGGGTGGGCATAGAAAATGTGGTAAAGCAGGGCTCCGCAGGAGCAAGTTTTAGGCCGCGGCCACCAATGGGGCGGAGCGGGGTACATTCCACTGGTATAGAAACCCTAGGCGCGGCAAAGTTTGTGTTGCCAAACGGGGTGAAAGTGACGAAAGCGGCGTCGGACAGCCTGGTGCCGGGGCCGACGCTTACGGACGAGGCGATGCGGGAGCGGACGCTGAACAGCGTCAGCATCACGAGTGAGGCGTCTTCAGGATTTCTGCTTCAGGATTTTTGGTCGCTATTCTCTTCGAGATCAGTGCGACCTTGTCAGTGCCCGATGGAGCTGCTAATTCGGTCAGGATGAAGGGTCCTGGGCTCTTGTCTAACCAAGCAAAAGCACAAAGTAAAGGAAAAAAGGGGGTTATTGTTCCAGGGCTGTTGTAAAGGGGTTTGCATTCTGGAGAACTCTGCCTGTCTGCTGCAAGTACGTTGTTGCCTGCCGAGATTGCATCCACGTTTTTCTGCATGTTGTGATAGCATCCGTTTTGCACCAGTACATTTTCTTTTGTCAGTGGGAGTAGGCTGAGTGTTTGATGATTGTATGCTTGGGGTTTCAATGCCGAGTTGTTCAACGAGCTCAGGTTGTCTCCTCTCTTCCTTACTAGTCACGCTTGATTGCTTAGTGCCGCAACTCGAAGATCGGTAAGGAAGGAGTTGTCTGACCTTGATTTTGCCGCAGCTGAACTTTTGAGTTGCTTTGCATGCAAAATTCTGGTGTGCAAAAGCAGGCTAGCCTCAGAAGCATTGCGGGTAGTCAGTGAGTCCTGCTGGTTCATGGGCTTGTTCCCTTTGTCTATCGAAGTGTTGCCCGGAAACAGATCTCTTTGTGGAGTTTCTACCAATTTGTCAATTTGGTCGCAGGCGCTCAAGGCAGAAAACAGACAGTGGAAGACGAGTTTGAGGCGTACTTTGCGATGATGGGCATATCCATGTAGTCTTGTATAGTAGAATGAAGAGTTGATTAGTGGCTTAGGATGTGAAGTCGCGGCCTCCGTGCTGGAGGCCTGCACTCAAGAAGTGATTGCCCTTGTACTATCTGCATTAGAGAGTGTTTACTTTGTGGGCGACACAGCGGTGCGTGCTCGACGGAGCTCTGCTTTGCATGACAAAAAGGAGGAATTAAGCAGGCAGGCTTTAGCCTGCAGGGACACCATCTTAGAAGCGTTATGCAGCAGGCAAGGAGAGGATATGACAGCCCTTTTTGAAGATTGACAGTGATCCTGGCTTAAGCAGACTTTTGGGCTGTCTCGTTGTCTTTGGTAGGTTGAGGTTATTAGGCATCAGACCAATCATCAATGCTTCCGCTTAAGGAGGTAATTGTAGCCGTTTGCAAACAGTACGTGCGTGCAACTCTGCAGCGCATATGTCAAGAGAACACAGTGTTTGTGGCTTGTTGCGTAAAGGAACCACGTCGTGCGTGTGCATCATTCGTGATTCGTTTGCATATGGTAGTAACGAAAATTTAGAGCTCAAACAGCCGCCGCGGTCGGCACCACATGCATATGCGCCACTGACTCAGACACATACTGTGCGCGGTATGCATGACGCGGCCGAATCGACGTGCAAGGCAGCGCCGCATGGAATCATTGCATGTAAACAATACGTGCATGCAATATCGACCTTAAGTGCACAACAAGTATCCTCAGTGCAAGCGCAATGTGCTCGATCTGCTTAATTGACGTGATCAATTTGATGCATCAGTGTTGCATAAAATCCTCACAGAACTGAAGTTCAATTAAGTTCTGCGGTGCTACACTAGTGGTACAGCTGTGGTAGAGAGACTCAGGCTAGATCTACATGGAGTCGCAAGCCATGAAAGGCACATGGGGCGCTGGTGCATCTGCGATCTATTGAACTTGATTCTCCAGTTTTTGGACAAACGAACTATATCCTGGCGGTATGTACATCTATAAGACTACTCTTACTCACCTGGAAAATGGACCCAACCTAACTGCTACGACTCGTTCTTCTAAACTAAGGCCAAAAAGCACATTCGCACCTTCTTTAATACTTCCCGTCTACAACATTATACTTTGTACAGATCTAACCACGAAGATAGTGAGAAAATGCTGCACATGCAAACGAGCATTTGAGCTCGCTAACTGGCTGCAGGGCCTTTGAACTGCTTTCTTACAACCCTCCAAAAACAAGAAACCTGGAATTCTGCGTCCTCTTCGGCCGACCTTCTCTCATCCACTCTTTGTATCGCTACATTCTAAAAGCACGCCCGGCTCGGGTCAAAACCGTCTCAAACTTGCTGCTTTTCCTTACTCACCACTTCTCGTGGGTGAAGTTGTGCATTTCTCCGGACGCCTGCAATGTGAGAATAATAGGCATCTGTGAATGTGGTTCTCAGGGGGCTGCGGGCTCAAAAACTCTAGAAGCAAAACTTCGTTGCGTGGATCTCCGTACACATGTGCACAGAAAGCATCGAAGCGAACCTCGATGCATCCCCGCTTTTACATTTCCCTCGTCGTTCACCCTCTCCTTTACTCTCCGGAATCAGGCAGTTGAGCAGAGAAACAGCGAAACAGAAGCGACTTTTGCATGTCGTTTCCACCACCTTGCAGCCCGCACCAAAGAGAGTAATTCTGAAACTGCAGGTTCGACCTGCCGAAAGCCCGTATTTTGACTCCGGAGCCAGCGTCCCTTGCAGTGCGGACAGAGCCGTAACTTTAGAGCGACGGAGGCGAAACCAGCCCACGACCGACCGAACCCACCTCCTCTAGTTCGACCAGGACGCCATTAGTGTCTTTCGGGTTAAGGAAGACGACGGGGTCTCCGTGCGCGCCAATCTTGGGCTTCCCGTCACCCAATAAATTGACGTCCGACTCCTTCAAGTGCTGGGCCGCGTGGTTGATATTGTCGACCTGCAAAACGTTGGTAGATGTCAACCATCGGCGAAAGATAAGACGCGTTTGTGACGTAACGAAGGGCGGACGGAGAGTAACCAGGGGTTCGGTTCCTTCGCCGTGGGGCGTTTATTGCCAAAGCTTGGCAATACGAATTAGAACATCGAGCAGACAGGAGCGACAGTACTAATCGGGATAAACAACATGCTCTTACATGCAAGACCTGCAAAATATGCCAAGGCGGAGACGAGGTGCTCTTCAATTTAAACGGGAGAACAGAGTGTAACAGCGGCGAAGCAATCCTAATGGACGATGGGAAGCTTCAGCAACTTAGCCGGGGTGATGAAAATAAAGGCTCTGCCGACCCAGCACAGGTGTCAAAGAAAGAAAGCGCGTAGAGCCGTATGAGGATTGGAATGGAAAGGCGACACAACCGGCGTACATTTGGCGAGGGGGGCCCGGTTTCCGACGGCGTGGTCTGTTTTGAGGAACCCATGACAACGGGACACTAGACTTGGCAAGGCTTGTCTACTGAGTATCCAGGCTGAATTGCGAGATTAGCAATTCGTGGCGCGTTTTACGGGAAGAAGTCGGGAAAGACCAGTAAGAACGCTAAATCCTGTTTATCCGAAGTGCATTGCGATACGGACGCACTTCCAAAGTCAAGGCAAGAGGAGGGGCATGCAGAGACCAGAAAAGGAGAGAAGCAAACGCGCGACTGGAAGAGAGAGAGAAGCGGACGGTCCCAGAACACAAAGAGAAGCAGAAGAGGATGCGGGAATGACATAGAAAGAGAAGGGGTCAGCTCACGGTGAGGCAGACGTGGTGCAGGCCCCCCCGGGGGTTTTTTTGGAGGAACTTGGCGATGGGGCTCGCGTCGCCCAGCGGGTGCAGCAGCTCGATCGTGAGCCCGGGCAGCTTGACGAACACCACCGTTACGCCGTGCTCAGGCTGGGGCTGCATAAGGGAGGGTGTAACGCTGGTGAGCTTTAGGGTCGTTAACCCTAACTGTTTGGCCGCGATGTACTCGGAGGAGGGGTTGAGAAAAACGAGTTGGGTTTTGGGTTGGGAAGAGTTGGGGTTGCAAGTTGGGGTTTCAAGCTGGAAAGAGTTGGGGTTTCGAGATCGGGGAAAACGAGTTGGGGTTTCGGGTTGAAAAGAGAAGTTGGGGTTTGAGTTTGGGAGAAACGAGTAGGGGTTTCGGGTTTGGAAGAGTTGGGCGTTTGGGTTTTGGAGAAAATCGAGTTGGGGTGTTGGGTTGCGAAGAGTTGCCGTTGCGAGTTGAGGGAAGCGAGTAGGGGTTTCGAGTTCAGCTTGTACGACAAGCAGCACCACGGGTACTGAGTGTGCGGTGACAGAAGTGAGAAAATCCTGAGAGGATCATGATTCAGCCGAATTGAGGCCCCACGTATGGCCTCGATTTTTACTGTTGCGTACTTGGGAGCGACTGGACGGCCTTGGATAACTTCGTAATTCCGGTGACGTGAAGCATTACGCTCAACTGATTCGGCAGATTCATCTCGAATCCTTAATTACAGCCGTGTTGACCACGAAGGGATAGAATGCACCAATTGTTTCAAGAGGCCCAGGATGGACGAGAGAAAGTGGGAATCAACACAACGAGCAGGTCACAAGAATGAAAGAGGTGGTGTGGCCCAGAAACATCAAGGTGGGGGGAACTTCCAGGTTCAAGTCAGACCAACGAGGGATGATATGAGAAACCTGGCATTGAAGAGGAGCGACGTGGACAGTTGACAGCGACGTTAACCTAGGTGTGAGGAAGTAGGATATGTTTCTGAAACCGAACAGGAAGAAGTGACAGAGCAGGGCTGGAGTGGCTGAAGAAGAAACAAAAGAAGATAACCTAGGTGTGAGGAAGTAGGATACATGTTTCTGAAACCGAACAGGAAGAAGCGACAGAGCAGGGCTGGAGTGGCTGTTGAAGGAACAGGATAAGAGAGAGAAAAGCGACAGAAGACACAATTGACGGCAAAGAAATAGAAGTGTGCCTGGTGTGCCTGCTCACTTTGGGATTGCTCACGCTCGCCCCAAAGACGGTGCGGTACTTTTCGGAGGCTGCTTCCAGGTCCGGAACGGCGACGGCGAGGTGATTCAGGCCAAGGACGGAGTAGGGGATGTCTGCGGGGGCGTCTGTCATGGTCCAGTGTTCCTCTACCACGTTTGCATGGCTGCAGTATGGGATCTGCAGGATAAACAAAGCGGAATAAGTTTCATCAAGAAAAAAGCTCAAGTGGTAGGGCTTTCGGTTGTGGCAATGCTCTAAAAATGGGAAAGAAGACGTTCCATTGCCACAGGCTGCTCAAAAGTTGGAAAATGGAAGAAACGAACCACCATATCCTAACATTCAAACCAGCACCAATCGGGTTTGCCAAGCCGACAAAGGTATTGGCTGATCAGGTGAGGTCTTCTGTGAGGGCGTGCTCTACTGTAGTTTGATTATCTCCATTGTTGATTATTAAGAGCAAGTTATAGATGCACACACAGATTGCCCATTGCATGTTTTTGGGGGGGGAAGTAAGGATGGTGCAACATCCAGGTTGGAGAAGTGACTCCCTTCAATTGCCGCAAATGGTCAAGAGGGTCATAGGAATCAAGCCGCAGGCTCATACTATCTGGTCAGCTTACGCCCCAATGGTATTTGCAAGGGAGGAGGCTAAGGAATGAGCAGAGCTAGGTTGGGGTTGCAAACGAGAAGTAAGAGTGCACCACCAAGATTTTGACGTTCTTTTCGTGCTTTTGAGTGTGCATGATGCGCTGCCCTCTTCAAATCACACTCTTGCAGACTCAAAACTTAAGGTTTACAATATGTGAAGTACATGCCATGCCATGATGCAATGGTCACCGTCTTAAGTTTAAAATTATTGCTTCGATGCCGCCTCAGATTTGCAAGGCACAACAGATGTATACTGGCCAGAAAACCAATAAACCAGTGGAAAGGGTGCTGCATCAAGCATGTAGCGCCAAACGAACTTAAACACCACCTTGACAGGTTCGCCCGTAGCTCTCCGCTGGTTCTAAAATTCATTGGAGTTTGCTGGACAACTCGAATGCACGAAAGACGGGCATTAAGCAGCTCTTCATATCTTCTTCTGCACACTGCTCTGAGTTGCTCCAGCCCAATTAGTCCATGGCTACTTGATACAAGGAGTAAAAGTGTTCTTTCAGCTCTGGTTTTCTTGAGCTCTTCACATTTTCGACCGAAACTGCCCTGCAACCATGACCAGGTTTTGTTGCCCCAAAATGCATCAAAGCGACTGCACTTTGACCGACCTGCTTCCCGCTGTTCCTTCTCCAGCTCCCACTTTGAACTGCCCCATGCTTGCCACTCGGTTCCGCTTCAGCTGCACCTGAAACTCCTGGCCTTTCTGGCGAGGTCCTGTCATTAGACACCGGACTAGCTGCCACCAATTGGTGCATTTGAGAAAATGCACCAGCAGCAATCCGTCCGTGCAGTTGTCTGAGCGTTACCACCTGTTTGGACATGCCACCAACGCCTAGGCGTCCCAGAAAGGCCATTTGGAAGGGGTGCAGTTTCAAACCAGAGGTTTTCTGAACGTGAAGCAGATCCGCGGAGGGTCTATCAGGAAAGGCTGAGGCTCAAACTAATTGCAGTGCTTCCTTCGCAATTGCGAGGCAAATGGAGCCTTGGCGGAGGTCTCTTGGACTTGGAGGGAAGAGGAGCCTTTGACACGAAGGAAGGTGGGAGCTGTGCGCTAAATTGTGCAAGCACAGCCTGAGCGAGCTATGTATAGACTCCAACCTGCTCAGCCCAAACCCTAATCTGGACCAAAGCTTAGCTTTAGACTCTCGATGAATCTGAACTATCGATTTACCAAAGGTCCGGATCCGGTACATCTGACGCTCCAGAATTTGCCACGTCATTTACCTGCTCCGCTAGGTTCCGAGTTGCTGCTCTTCAGTCGATCTCGCACCTTCGCTTCGGAATCGCAGTGACGCATTCCCTTGTCCATTGGCATCATTGTCAAAGGTACAGTGGCGTACACAGCTAGTTCCTTGGACGCCACCTCTCCTGACCACGATGCAGGCCGTCTGCCCCGCCGCCTCTGCCCCCTTCTCCTCTCTTTCCTCCCTCTCCCTCTGCCACACCTCCAACGGGGCCCGCTTCGCCCTTTTGCGCCAAGTCAGCCTCTTCCCTCACCCTATTCACTTCAGGCGCTCGCCGATGCCCCCCACCCCTCGAGCACTTTTCAGCGGTCTTAAAAATGCTGTTTCGGGGGCCCTGAATCAGAGCACTGCGGGTGGGACCACTGCAACCCCCCCCCCAATGGTGGAGCATAACCTCCCCCCCTGGGAGGATCTGGCGGCGGCGCTTCCGAAGGAGTTGGAGAGCTTGAAAGACAGGGTTCCGTGGGCTAAAGAGAGGCGGTTTGGCCTGGCGGGGGGGAAGGAACCGAGGGTCGTGTTTTACAGGGATAATAGCAGCTGGTGTCCGTACTGTGAGCGTGTGTGGCTACAGCTGGAGGAGAAGCAGGTGCCGTATAAGGTGGAGAAGATCAACATGAGGTGAGGAACAAGACCGCACTTCTCAGCACTGTGTTAATTTTCTCTTAATGGGCAAATTCAAGTAGAGCTCATTCAGACATAATAAGAGGGCTTCATTTTAGAGAAAATGAAATGACAAGGTGAAAGAGAGGGCCTGACCCTGAATTTTATGTAGCTCGCAGCCAAGCGTGTCTTTACTAAGAAGAAAGAATATTTGGAAAGGAAGAATGCTGGAGGAAGTATTATTGAGTATCCGCTGGAAGAGAGAAAGCTGGGGGGACATAGTTGTGGTCATGGTAATTCCAAAAGAGAGTGATTGCGCTCCCGTTCGTCTGACCGGAAGGCAGTGGGATACTTTCCACCAGTGGGCTGAGTCATTTAGGTTCAGACTGCAGAATCCTCCATTCTCCTTGCGACTGAAAGTTGGACAAAACGTTTGAGACGTCCGTCCTATTCAATATCTTTGCTGTTTTCACAGGACTGGGGAGAGGAGATAGAAGGCAGCTCGCAGCAGACTCTCCGAGGCTGACTAACCCGTTTTAACTCCGTATAACCTGTATCGGTTCTGATAGCAAACCCACCCAAGAATCTTTCTTTCAGAAGCCATAGCTTATCATACTCCACCCGTTTATGTCCTGTCCAGGTGCTACGGCCCCAAGCCCGAGTGGTACACGCGCATGGTTCCCTCTGGTCTGCTGCCAGCTGTCAAGATCGATGGCGAGCTGATCACCGAGTCTATGGATATCATGCTCCGGCTTGAGCAAGAGTTCCCTGAGCGCTCACTGCTGCCCCCGCCGGGGTCGCAAGAGAGCAAGGCGCTGCAGGTGAGCGAAGGCTCTCGTCCTGAGTGCAGTGTGTTGGAGCAATGTTATTCGTCGGTTGTATGTAAGCTCTGACCTACCGTGGTGAACCTCAGAGATATCCAGAGATTGCTATTCAGAATTGAGGCACGCATTGTCCGCGACCTGGAACGCAAGGCCCGCTGTGACGACATGCTTTGGTTGTGGAGGTCGTTCTGTGAGGTCGATACATGTGAAGAACCGCTTTTACACCTGTATGCGTCAAAGTGGCCATCGGGTTCCAACTTCCGAGCACGATGATCTTGAGCCGTCCGATGGCTTCCTTGTTGACGATTGGACGGTTCAAGGTCAGGAACCATGCTTGGAGCATTTGGAAGCCAATGACAGATTTGACAGAAAGAGCTGTAGAAAGACAGTCGAGGGGCCTTTTAGTGCCCACGAGGGTGGTGCAGAAGCCAGGCCTCTATTCATGGTTTTCCATAAGACCTTTCTCTTGAGCCGGTTATTCAAGCCCTTGTTAACAACCAAAGTCCAATGAGATCAGCATTCCGGACCGGCTCTTTGACTATGTCACTATTTTTCGGAATATCACCTACAGTGGCACCCAAAATAGACCTGGACGTGATGGCAGGTCACAATTTTCCCTTTCTGTGAAAGACCTTTGACTGCGTTTCTCCTTGCTGCGAGTGGTGAGCTTTCCCTCTGCATTGCGAAACTTAGCATTTGTGACATGACGGGACTCCAAACAGCAGCGTCTTCGAGAGAATCTTCCAAAGTGGTCAGAGTCACGTGGGCCTTGGATCTAAAGCACAGGAGCCTCTGCCCACCTCCTCAAACTTGAAGCGTCTGCGAGCTGGTTGCAGTTTGTACCCGCACATGTAGCTCCTCACTGATTTCCCACAGCCTCAAATCCCAAGTTCCCCGACGTTCAAAAAGCTGTGATCATATAACACTAGGTTTTAGCATGGCAGGGCTCGTTGCATCCGGAGTAGCAGTTGTTTGGCAGCTGCGATTCACTCTTCACTCGCAACGGTAGAACTGCGATTCATTCTTCACTTGCCATCGTAGAACCTGAACCCCCAACCTGTCGACTTTCTCAGACTGTTGTAGTGCTGTACCCGGTGTTGTAGGGCTTGCTGCTTCTGGAGCGGCACCTGTTGGCACGTTTCCCTCAGTTGGCACGTTTCCCTCTCGCTGTATTTCGCAAAATCCCGGACATCTCAGAATCTCATAAACCCTTAAACCTTGCTACCCGGAACCGATTTCACAGGGCGCGCTCCGCCAGGGGCGACAATTGTCCGGTAGCTGACTCCACTTCATTACCAGTGGGTTAGCCGACCACATGTTACGCATCATACCAGCAACATTCTACTTTGGAATCCTCGATGCCGCAAATTTATTCAACCTGACCCGAAACCTCGAAACTCTGACTTCGCGTCTGTAGGGCCTGCTCCGCTTGGAGCGGCAACTCTTCGGCAGCTGGCTGCGCTTGGGTGGGGCGACGGAGCGACTTACAACTCTGCGCCCGCAACCCTTGAGTTCGAGTCTCAGAGCTGCAAAAATCCCGGAAACCTTAATTTAACGTTCATAACCCTGGGTTTGTTTTTGTAGGGCTTGCTTCGCCTGGAGCGGCAACTCTTCGGCAGCTGGCTGCGCTTCATTACCAGCGGGTGGGGCGACGCCGGCAACGGGCAGCGCTTCGAGGAGACCATGGCGGACGTCGACGGGGCGCTGCGGCGCTTTGGCGGGCCGTACTTTCTCGGGAAGGAGGTGAGCTCGACACGGAGAGGTTGTGATATTCGTAGGCGAGCAACGAAGTGGAGCGGCCACATGATTGGTTAGCCTTTTCCTGAACACTTAGTCGTGGCGCCGAGGATTAGAACCCTTGATGCTCGATTGGAATTCCGTCAGATTTTGACTTCTTGAGTCAAATGAAACAGAAAGATTGATTCTTGGAAGAACGTGACGGCCCGACTGACGTACCAATGACAGTTGCCACTCTTGGCCGTGATGTTTTTGATATTCAGTTGTCCGGATGGGTTTTGCTGATCTGCGAATCAGTTGTCAAAACGTCGACCCTCCGAACCAAGTTTTCCGGGCACATTGAGAGTTGCACCTTGGGCAGAGAGCAAGTTTTTCAATTATGGTTCCCGTTCCGTCCCCGCAGTTCTCCATGATCTACGCCGTCTATTCCTCTGATGTGTACAGATCTTGTCGTCAGGCCGTTGACTCCCCGGATTAAGTTCGTGCACATTTCGACGAATGATCCTCATTGTGACGTTCGTTTTATCTCATCGTAATGGCAAACTTTTCTGATCACGCTCCCGTATCTCTCCCGCAGTTCTCCATGATCGACGCCGTCTACGCCCCCTTTCTGGAGCGCATCGCCGCGAGCGTGCCCTACTACAAGGGCCTTACCGTGCGCAACAACAAATGGTCCGCCGTCAATGGTTGGTACGATGCTATGGATTCCCGGCCCGCGTACCATGCCATGAAGTCGGACGACTTCACGCACGTCCACGATCTACCCCCCCAAATCGGGGAGTGCTACCACAACGACGCCTCGAAGGATTATTGGGCGCTGGTTGACGGAAAGGCCGGCAGTTGGGACTTGCCGTTGAAACCGGAGACTACCGGATGGGGATTTGACGAGGGAACTGCGGGGAAGGGCGAGGCCGCGTATAGTCTGGTTACGAACCACGCTGCCGTGGTTAGGTTCGCGTTGCGGCCGCTGAGAAACGACGCCGAGGCATACGCCGAGGCGGTAGACGTCGTGTTCAGGTACGTTGCGAAGGCGTTGCTTGAGGGAACGGAAAAGGCGGGGGAGTTGCCGGCGGGTTTGCCTAAGCAAGTGAAGAAAGCGGTGGAGCATTTGAGGGATAACGTGGGTGTACCGCGGGATATGAGCTACCCGGCGGCACGGCAATTGCGGGCGCACCTGAACTGGGCTCTCCGCCAATTGTAAGGTCTGTCCCTACCAAGCAGGTTTGATTGACAAAAACGCTTTAATATAAGCAATGCGCGCCTATCCTATGACAGACCGACAAAGGCAGTGAGACCGGTCAAAGGACTGGTCAAAGGCATTCTGCTGGTGTTCGAACCCTAGGATAAGTAAGTAGCACCTTCACCGAACACGATTTGGCGGAATACTGTCGATTACAGTCACCATGAAGTCCGCCGCGATGTTTGCAGGTTCTTGCTACGGTACTCCTATTGTGATAACAGGGTGGCTCCAATAGGCTGGAATCAATTCATGACGCTATGAAGAAAGTCTACTGCGCCCGCTTGTTGAACTTTCGATGCATCATACATGTAATTCTGGTAACTTGGAATGATGTGCTGGTCTAGTTATCGGTTTCGCATGGGTTGAATCCGGATTCCGTATTAGTACATCCGATCCGATCGATGATCTATACATGAGCAGGCAGTCCCGATCCTCAAAGAAATGTATGTGCCATGCAACGCGCGAATTTACTTGGCTAAATCTGCTACGTAAACTGCATAAGAGCTAAATTGTAAGAGTCGGACTCACAGGAAAGTTGAAGGTGCCTGGCCGTTGCCTTGAACGAATCAGCAAACTTCTAGATAAGCTCGAGATCGCCTTCGAAGTGATTGTGGCCAACATAGCATTTTCGACAGCTGACTGTGAGAGGTGCGTGCGTGCGTGCGCAACAATACTGTTCAGGGTTTCTCGCTTTAGTACCATGATCCCTTTCAACCGAATGCATTTAAAATTGGGGCGCATGCATCCCGTCTCCTCTAGAAAGTCCGGTCCAACCGTTCACTGACTGAAAACTTCGTTGGCTTCAAGTATGTCGAGACCAAGGAATGCTGGCACTTCCCTCGAATACTGATGCACAGGGGTCTTCTACATTCCATGCACTGACGTACATGCAAGTCATCGCTTGCATGAGAAGAGGTCTTCATGCATCCACCCTGTTGCCAAATCACGGGTTATTCTTGAAAATCAAAGTTTCAAACTTTCCCATGTCATCGAACAATGGTATCAAAGTCAGTGCACGAGTCTACTTGATTTGCTCACTTGAATTGGGCGATGCTCGGCCAATCTATCAGCATAAAATCATAGTAACGCTTCGAGAGGCAGATGGACGTATCACATGCCCGTAGTATCTATCACAGTAACGCGAGCGTCCACGATTACTTCGCTGACCTATCTGTGATCCTCGGTCTCCAAGTCCGCAATCTAAAATCTGGGCTTGAAAGGCTAAACTTAGGCCAGCCACCTTTAGGACGGTAAAGTGGCAGGCGCTGGGACTTTTAAATGCAGAAGTTCACGAGGGGGCAGAGGGCTTTCGCTTTATCGATCTATCTTTGGAATCCATTGTGAAGCGGTGAAGTGGTTTGGCAAAAAAAATTTGGTCTCTCTACGACCGATACGTTTCGGGCCTTTTCGAGTGGGTTCAGCGGGTGATAACTTCGGTCGCGAAGCTTGCCCGGGCTTGGTTGCTCGTGCATGCTGTCATCGGTATCGAAATCAACGGCTCCTCAGCTCTCATCTTCGGCCCACAAGCAGATCATCATTTTCAAGTGACTCCTTATAAGCAGCCGACGAAAAAAGGACATTTGTTGGGGGCTGGAGCTCAGTGGTAGAGCGCCAACTCGGATGAGGGCAAATTCGCCTAGCTTTGCATTAGGGACAGGGTCCTGAGTCTAGACTGTATGCAGTGCACGGCTACTCCCAGAATGGGACGTCGGATGTGCGTAGGGATAGGTGCATACCTCAAGCCCGGGGCAGTAGTGTCGCCCTGTAGGCTTTCAGACTTATCAGACCTCCGGGTGCCCGCGATAGCCCGACCCGCCGAGTGAGAGACGCGGGTTCGAATCCCGCCAGCTCCATCCTTTTCTGCGGCGCATCAATCGAGCGCCAATGCGGATTATATCAGCTTTAACCCCCGCGATGCTTCTGCGTGCATATATGGAGGCTCCAAGCCTTGCCATGCGATGGTGAAGCACGTGACAGGCAAGTACAAAAGTAGCGCCAAGCGTCTCCCGTTTAACATGTAGAGTCTAGAATTTCTGATCGCTTTTGCACGTGCCCTGAGTGACAGAGTGAATACGCGGTCGGAGCGCCCCAACTTGGCCATTGGGTTCTCCCGAGGAGCTGACCCGGGCTTAATCGTGGGCTCAACATAGTACCCGCCACTGGCTGCAACTTGACCTTCTGCTACAGTCAAGTCCGGACGACTGATCTTGCAGAGCGTCTCGTACCTTCTACGTACGTTCCGGCACGCAGCTTTATGGGAATTGCAACTCAACGGCCTTGGGCTTTCCTGAGAATATGCGCAACTTAAGTTAAACGGTGAAACTCTTCTGCTGAACCAGGACCTCTCGTTAATTGATTGGAGACCTTAGTATCACCTTATGCCCAACTTCCGAGGAGGTGCCAACCGTTCGAACGACCTTCGCCGCTCCCGGATCCAGATGCAACATGCGGATTGATGCATACATGATACTTCGTGCTTGGAGTACGTACTAGTCTGGGCACCTAATTGGCGTTAGAACGCTGAGGTGCAATTGCCTCGTGTCGGTCGCTTTCGGATATGACGTCGTACGACCAACTCAAAAGCCACACTGAAGCATAGGTCAAATTCCGACGAGTCAGCATCAGGCGCGGCTAAGTTCCAGCCAGCTTCGATCTGTGAGACTGAAGGCTCTCGTAAGGGTGGACCAGCTAACGGGCGCAAACGAGAACACCGTCTGAATTGGGTTTGCATCTGGACTTCTTAGGAGCACCCTAATCATCCTCCAGGGTGTGGAATCTTGCAGTCACGGTATTGCGCGCCTTGCTTGAAGGGGGCTGTGACTGGTCCGTTCTCGGAACTTCGCGTGACGTGGTACTTGTACTTTTTGAGCGGTAGTAAGTGCTCAACAAGGTATTCGTGTACGGTATGCCAATGACCATTGACTTTGAGATTGTGCGCCGAGAGGTTCACCATTTAGGAAAGCACGTAAGAAACACTGCCCGGAAGCTAATTAAGTTCGAAAGAAGCAAGCTGGTTGTCCTGATATCCTCCTTTGGAGTCACGTCAGCTTCCGAGTCGTACGTTCTCGGAAGTGGTTCGATCCATCGCCCTTCAAAAGAATGTCCAAAACCCAACTATGCGAGAACTCAGGTCGAAGGATGAGGCTGTCATGCAGCTGGCGACGGCCCGGGGAAATCTATGGATCTGAGAGAAGGAAGAGTCCGGATCATGAGGCGAGATTAAGAATTAGCGAAAGACGCATGATATTCGCTGCCCACTAGAAGGTCTTCAACTCAACCTCAGACATACATATGGTGGCTTTCCCCAAGACGTCAGTGCCAATGAATCTGACGTTATCAGATTCTAACGGTGCATGTACATTATTTATCACACCTGAAATCTTTCAAGCCGTCAAGCATCGCGTCGACGTCGGCTGCGGGTCGGAAGCACTTGCAAAAGTGAAGAAGTGGTGATGGCGAGACAAGCGTCTTCTGTTAGCTTCAACACCGGTATCGCTGTTATTTTGAAGCAGGCATCATTGGCGCCAAAATCTGACAGCTACCTTGCAAGACTAGGGGGTCAAGAGGTATGGTTTTATTCTGCAGTCTTCGAAGCAGTGGGGTCTTTCTTCGTGATGCAAGTCTGCAAGTCGCTGTCGTCAATATTGCATGCAGCCTGATGATCCTGAGCGGCGCGGCCGCACGCACAGTACTGTAATGTGCGCGCGCGACAATGGGACCTGAGTCAAAGATGGAGTGAGATTTGTCCGGGGGCTTGTTAGGAAACCGAGCAAGTCCACCGGATGGGGGTTTGTCGAACTTGCCAGTCCCGACTCCCAACGCGGCGACCGCGGCAGATGCAACTCACCGGTAATCTCGCCCGGTCAAATGTGTTACTGGTAACGAACCCCCTGCTACGGACCGTACTGGCGCGCCAGGGGGATTGCTTGTGACGTCAGCGTTGTGGTGCTTGGGAGTTTCCGAGGTGACGACGAGACGACGACAGAATGTACTCTCTAGAGTCTAGGACTAGGCGACACAGGCTGGTCACTTCGCACGGGCATTGTCGCCAGCGTCTATTGCAATGGCGCCTTTTAATTGGATGATATTGATACAGGATTTCCAGGCGGACTTCATTTGACTCTTCGAAAAAGCTGATTGAGAAAGCTGATGAGCACTGAGTGCACATTGTCTCGGCTCAGGGTTCAAGATGGAGGTCTAGAATGGAGTGCATTGCATTATCAAGGGTGGCGACATGGGGGAAGCATAAATTAAAGGTGGTCTCCCTTGGCATTTCAATCAAAAAGCGTTCTTCAGGTGCTTCTGGGTCCCAAACCCCTGACCAAAATGACTGCTTCTCAGCTGCTAGCTGAGAGCTTGGGCCGCTACTGGACTGCTTTGAGCCCCCATTCATTGCAGCGTTCCCCATACCTCTCCTTCGCTGAGCTGTCAGCATGGGGGATCATCAGCATTCTGTCCCTTCTCCTTGTAGCTGCCTTGATTGTGCGAGCATACGTGCAGTTTGTCTACAGGCCACTGAGGTTGATAAGGCATTTCAAAAAGCAGGGCATGAAGGGGCCCCCGTTCAAGCTCCTTGTTGGACAGATGAGCGTGCTCAAAGACAGTGAGAAAGTAGTGGAGAATGGCGGGAAGAACATGCAGTACATGATGGACTGGAAGAAGGAGTACGGTGAGCTCTTGAGCAACAAAGTGTAGTGTTTAATCTGAACTATCCAGTGAACAATTATGAGTGCGTAAAACTGCACATTTCATCTCTGAATGCAGACAATGTAGTCAAGTGCCAGATGACAATTGTCTCAGAGTAGCGATGGCGACATGGAGAAAGCCATCAGAAGCGATGGACTGAACAATGTGGAGCCGTTCAAAGTGTTCTCTATTGAACTGCCTGTCAAACTGCCTTCGGAGGAAGACCCAGGAGTTATCGTTCTGCTCTCACTTGGCGGCAGAATTGCCACTTCAATGCAGAGATCCCACAAAGGCCTGATTCGTATGTTGATGTGTTTCGAGGCCGGTTGAGGTTCTGTCATGAAAAGCCTCCTGCTGAAATTTTGTTATCATCTCTGTCTTTTGCAGGCAGCATATTCTACTACTGCATTGGCCCCAAAGTCCGGTTAGCAATCTTGGACCCAGCGTTACTGCACCAGGTTCTCCACACGACAACAGGGAACGGCGGCCACTACCGCAAGAACGACTATGGAGCTGAAGTCTTTGAACCAGTCTTGGGAAAGCACGGGCTGGTTTTCGCCTCCAATGCCATCTGGTCCCGCCAACGAAAGCTGGTTAACCCCATGTTCTCACACAGCAAGCTCAAGGTGAGTTAGAGCTACATGGTTTGACGGCCTGCTTGGGGGTTAAAGCCTAACCTGATTCTGAGAACCATTCTTACCTACAGTATAGGCAGGCTCTTCCAGTTTGAAATTGCAACTTCATTTGTCACATCGATCTAGATAGTTTCCACACTGCATCTCTTTTCGAAACTGTCCCTTCCTCAATGCACGTCTTTGGATTCATGGAATGCGACGTCTGTGCAGTGGAGATTGGGTGCCTTCATCAGAGTGCAGGCACAGAATGATTACCCTTGATGCATTATTGAGTCAATATTGGAGGTCAAAATCTCGATCGATGATCTGTAGTGGTGTTCACCCTAGAATTCAAGACGTTGCAGATTCCGGCCGAGCATTTATCAAACCCCGGCAATACTTCGTCCGTAAGCTTGAACCGCCTCAAAAATTGCATCACTTACTTGTGGATCCGGTTTGACCTTCTTGCCAAACCCCATTCCTTCATTTCGTCTTACCCAGCTTGCCCTGCCAATGCTTTGTTCACATCCGTATTCGAACCCTCGGATTGGCCTTACCCCCACAGTACTACGCTCAGTCTCGGATATTGCGATACCCTCTAGAAGTCCCCTGGAAAACTCGTCCAAACCCCTCAGACCACCGAATTACCTCGTCAATCGTGATTGTTTAGTGAGCAGTAGATAATACTGAGATGATAAGTACACGAACCCCATCTCCGCAGGACATGGAACCTTTCATCGTGAGCAGCACTGAGGAAATGGTCCGCCGCTGGGAGGCGAAGATCGACGGCGCCGGGGGGCGGGCTGAGATCGAAGTGAACCAGGAACTGTCAACCGTGGCTCGTGACGTCATTTGCCGGGCGGTATTTGGACAAGAGGACGGAGCGGAATCCGCTTATTCCGGTCAAGACATCTACCACGACTTCGAGAACCTGCTCAAGGACATTGCGGCGCGCTCGTTCGGGCCCCAAGCGATGTTCATTCCCTTCTACAAGTGAGTGCGATCCAGTGCTCCGATTTATGCGTTTATATAACCAGGGCAAAGGTGACATCTGATGTTTCGCACTGGTTCCCCTTTGTCTGGTTGTTGGACAGGGAGAGAATGTGAGACGTTCAGTCGGGCCGCTAGGGGTGGGGGATTTGTGTGATTGGGGTGAGCTCAGATGCAACACCATTTCTGCCGGATAAAGACACCAGTAGGCAACCTTACAGTCAAAGCTTCCAATCTGATCACTCCTTTAGCCTCCCCTTTGTCGCAGCCTGCCAAGCCTTCACATCGTGCGCACTCTCAAAATTACTTTGGGCATAATACCTTATGGCTGTTTGTCCGCATTCGCAAGGACTCTGCTCTAGGTCTACCTATGTTCTACCCTATCGGCAAGCTTCTGCTTCTTTGAACTTTCTGCTTTGCCCTCAACGATAAGCGCGATGCTTCATACTTTGCCTGCACAACAAAACGCTATAGGTCAACCATAGCCTATCGTTCGCCTGTGCAGGTATCTGCCCATCCGCATTGCGCGGACCCGCTCGCGTGTCCGTTCGATGATTCTCACGTTTGACAATACGCTATCACCAAATTATAGCTTATCTGTGGTCTGTGCAGGTATCTGCCCATCCCCATCAACTTCCGCATCGCGTGCACCTGCGCGCGCGTCCGTTCGATGATTCTCACGTTCGACAATACGTTGTCAGCAAACCATAGCCTATCTGTCGTTCGTGCAGGTATCTGCCCATCCCCATCAACGTCCGCATTGCGCGCACCCGCGCCCGCGTCCGTGCGATGATCCTCTCGCTGATCAACAACCGCCGCGCCAAGGCGGCCGTCGCCGCGAAAGCTAACGGCGGGCCGCCGGATTTTGGAGACGATCTCCTGGGGTCGCTGTTGGCGGCTTCCGACGAGCAAGGGTCGCTCTCCAGGTGAGGGGGAGCTACCGATGTAAATTGTAAGCCCGCGCTTTGCTGGCCACCGCTTCGTTGTTTTAGACTGAACGTAGTATCTGATTGGAATTCTTTGGTCTTGCGAAATGAATTTGTCTACCCACGAAGGTGTCATAAAGATGTGACCCTGAAGAGGCGGGATCTGCTCTCTTCGATCGATTGACATGGCCGGAGGTTTTGTTCGAGCTTGTTGTTCTGGGACACGCTATTGATAACTTCCTCATGGGATCCCTGGAAGAGCGACAATCCGCATAGGATACACTTTAACCGCCTTCAAACGGCTCTTTTCGCAGCGAAAAGGTGATTGACGGCCTTCTTTGCGGGACACGAGACGTCGAGCATCGAGCAATTTCTTGACTTAGAGCAGATACAGCATTAGTCTCCATCAAGCGGCTCTTTACCCAAAAAAAACTAGAACCGCGAACTTTCCCTCCCACAGCGAGGAGCTGATCGACCAGTGCAAGACGTTTTTCTTCGCGGGCCACGAGACGTCTGGCCACGCGCTGACGTGGACGCTGCTGCTGCTGGGCCAGCACCCCGAGTGGCAGGAGCGCGCGCGCGCGGAGGTGCGCGAGCACTGCGGAAGCGCGCCGCCCAACAAGGACAGCGCCAACAAGCTCAAAGTGGTGAGGCGACCGAAGCCGTAGTGGGCTCTCACTTCTCATGCGTTATCTGTGTTCTTGCTCCTTCGCTACTCGACCTTTTCGCAGGTACTACCGCTCAACGGCTGCCGCGAGAGACACCTCTTAGCCGCTGAGATGGAGAGGCTCACCGTTCAATTGTTGAATATGCTCAGTGTATTGCTGTCCGATACTTCCTTTTGATCGTCTTCTTTCGAGATTTGGTGACCCCAAAAAGCTTTCTGCGACTTCCCACGAGCTCTTGGATCGTTGGACTCACCATTCATCCTTACTTTTGACGCTTTACCTTAGAAGCCTCAAATCGGTTTTGGAACAGTCAGCTGGAATCTGCAAAGGAAATACTGTAACGGACGGAAGACGGAAAGGGAAACGGAAGCGGAACGCATCAAAGCACCGTTCACCCCTGCTTGCTCAAGCGCCACGGCATCTCCCCGGGCAGGTCACAATGGTCCTCCGCGAGACGATGCGCCTCTTCCCCCCGGTCCCCTTCACCACGCGCCAGGTGTCAAAACCTCAGCAGCTGGGGCCATACGCTATCCCCCAGGACGACAACCTCGTGATTGCGGTGCCCATTTACCCCCTCCACCGCGACCCCGCCACGTGGGGCGCCGACGCTGACGTGTTCAACCCCGAGCGCTTCGAGAACGGCCCCGCGGGCGCGGCGACGGACGCGCGCGCGTATATCCCGTTCGCTTCCGGCCCGCGGAACTGCGTCGGGCAGCAGCTCGCGATGCTGGAGACGAAGATGGTGCTCGCCATGGTGCTGCAGCGGTTCCGGTTTTCGGTCGCGCCAGGGTACCGGCACTGGCCGCACAACACGATCACGCTGCGGCCGAAGCTGGGGCTGCCGCTCTTGGTCGAGAAAGTTGAGTAAGTAACACAAGGAGTCAAACTCATTTGACGAACGGGCGGTTTGATGGAGCAAATCAATTTGGTACGCTACATTTTCTAGATTGTGTGACGGGTTACTGCGGTAAATTTTTGTCCTTACTGAGCACGTCAAAATAGACACGGTTGAATGGGTAGAGGCTGGTGGCTCCGTTTGGGTTTTTAAACACCCTGTGTATTTTATATAGGTAGTATATGACCAGATACTGCTAGACTCAAGCCCTATCATATACATAATTATTGGACCCATGCTTTCCGGGCCAAGTTACCATCGTCCTTTTCTATACATTTGGCACTTACTTTTCGCTTGAATTCAAGTAACCACTTCTTATATCTTATCGACAGTTGGATTCAGCTTTGAAAGCGGGCCCACAATAATCAAGTTTGGTGCCATCGAGAATGAAGTTTTAGCTCAACTCTAACACTTGAAATGATGCGTCTGCAAAATACGTGCATGCAAGATACAGACGGTTGTTCCATTGGACAAGCTTCTAGGTTCAATCAAATGTATGCCTCAATTCGACCACCATGGCGTTCATGGTTAGACGCGGAGTCACGAAGTACCAGCATGTCGTAGCACATTAATTGCGGATCGACGGAGTGTCGTCGAGAAAATTGTTGCTCCACTAGGTTAGGGATGTATTATGGACGTTCTCGCAAGTTGCTAGTAATTCGATCATGAACTCAACACGAAAAGTTGTACATGTGACCTGCAACTTGAAATTCCAATATCTCGGCATGCGAGCATGTATCCCCTCGTCGTTCCTTCCTTCTCCCCACCCCGGGCCCTCCCATGCAAGTGCTGGTGGCCCGTCAATCCAAGTTATGGTATAGAAGTATGGCATTCAACCGCCTGCAGAACCCTAGGTCACGTTTTGGGTCACGAAATGCCCCAACCTTAACCAAATCGAGTCGAGTTTTTTGCATTGGGTTCGAGGTCCCAAGGGGGTCCTAGGACCCGGGTCTCGAGGTGTCTGGACCCCTCGAGCCACCCCCACCACCCGGGGAATCTTGGCTCTCTCAGAACCGGGGGGGGTCATATTCTATTTTTCGTAGCTCTT